TAATAGAATTAAATCGAGAGGAATAAACAAATTAATGTAATTGATATGCACAATGAAAAAAACGGTATGCGAAGCGACCCCTTTTTCTTTTATTGCAGTAGATGATTGTAAGCAGGTATGGTGTATCTGAAGTCACTTGAAATAGCATAAAAACCTTTGGTCGGCGCGTCCTTTGTAATTTCATGACGTATCATAGCCGTGCGGCATTTATTAAGAACGATAATAATAATGTTTTTATATCACAATAAATGGATTTTACTATCTTCGTATTTTTTTGATTTGGGATAAAAAATACTTATATTGGGAGTTTAATTTATGTTGACTGAAAGTTAAGAAATGGAAAAATTACAGAATTCCAACGTTTGACATAGGCAAATATTTACATAGCGGGTAGGTATATAAAAAGGTATATAAAGACTTACATTATAGGTATTTATATATCATCCTCGCCTTCGGAGCTGTCGCTAGAGTCATCTTGTAGAGGAATTACAACGGGATTTACAGGAGGCAAAACACAATATTCATTTTCTTTTTCAATAATATGCCTAGAACACTGCTTCCATAGGTCTGTGGCAGCAATATGAGATACTGCATCTCTTATTGTGGCCAATAGCGATTCACTTAATTGAGGGGTCTGATTATGTTTTCTTACTTTTTTTTTAAAGCAGCCCAGACCAACACAATCGGGTTAAAAATGCAGTAATAGGGAGGTAGACGTAATACTTCATGGCCATTTTGCTGAAGCAGATTGTCAACAACATACTCTTTTTCAAATTTTTGTCTTTTAATAAGATCCAATAATATGGCTTTGGTTGATTTTTGTGGTATTTCCATTCCCTTATCCTTCATAAAATCAATAATGTCTTGTTTTTTTGTGCCTGTATTCGGAATTTTGTTTTTCTGTCGGGAATGGTATGGCGCATTGTCCATAGTAATCACTGAATTTGGGGAAATGTTTGGTATTAACTGCTGCTCTATCCACTTTTCGGTGGAGGTCATGTCCTCATGATAGTCGGCACATGATTCTTTGATATTTTTGGCAGATAACAGCAAGGCATTAGGTATAAATCCATTTTCACTGCCAGCATGGAGAATAATGATTCGTTTTCCACGGTTGCATGGTGCATTTAAAATGCACTTGTTGCTGTCGTCAACCCAGCCGTACTGCACAACATCATGGGTATCATACCACGTTTCATCCAGGTAAATCAGATTTCTTTTCTGCTCTCTATAGATTTTAACTTTGTGCAAAAATTCTTGGCGCAATTCAACGATTCGAGACGACTCCATAATCACCATTCTTTTATCTAATTTTTTGTATTGAAAACCACACAGTTTTACAATACAGTGCAGTGAGTCTAAGCATTTGTAATTATAAAAATCTTCAGAATAATCTTTTAATTTATCCCGTATCATTTCCAACGTGGGCACCAAATTTTCTTTATAAAATCCGTATATTATACGACGAATATCTTCCTGAAAACCCACGTCTATTCTTTTTAATTTTTGCCCTATGCGCTTTCTGTGGAAGGAATGGTTGACTACATCTCCCCTTTTTATAACCCGATAAATGGTAGACCGACTGATTTTTGTCAGGATACAAATTCTGTTTAAAATTTGATTTTGCGAGGAATCTGGATTTTCGTTTTCCAGACAATCATACATATTTAGGATTACTCTTTGGGTCTGTTCCTCTAAATCTTTATGAAAGAATTCTGCCTGCACAGGTTCATCAACCATCTCCTCGTGGCTTGGAGCATTTTCCCAAGGTCTCCAAAGAGCCATATTTAGGACACACAAGAACAATCAACACAACAATTAAATCAACAAGTAAACTGAGTATTCAAAAGTCAAAAACACACAAACTAATAAAATCTATGAAAAAACACGGACAGACTAAAGAAAACACGTTTATTCACTGCTACACGGCACTGGCTAAACTGTTTCAATTTTCAGTAGCCACCTGCACTTGTTCGGAGCTCTGAAATACACACTTTCTCATTGGCTATGTCCACGCATAGGCGTGCTTTACTCCACGTGGACCGGTGAAACTGCCTTTGATCTCTTATACATGGGATATTTGCTGCGAAATTTGGCGATTTTTGCAGCAACAGAGCGTGTTAAATATAGATATATAAAACGCACCCGGTATTTCACAGTGTTTCAAGTGACTTCAGATAAAGTATACATTTTTCAAAAATGCGAAGAAAAAACCCGCAGCAATTTTTATCAGCGGGAGAGGACGATCTTTTTTGTGAAAGTGTACCTGCCCCCAAAACTTTTATAGATCGAGGGGTAACAAATTTTTTCAAAAAGGAGTTGAGGACAAACCATAAAAATTCTCAAAATTGTGTTAAATATGCAAATTTGAATGTCCAACCAGATTCAGGGCACTCATGTTATCCACATACAAACTATTACGATATTTTTCACGAGTATCCATCTCGGTAGAATAACATCTGATTAGGTAGTGTTATTTCAAAACTCCCCATTAGTCTAATCATATTAAACGAAGATACCCGCGGTTTGCGAAATAATTGGAAAGTCTGGTTTTATTGCTGCAAGTTGTTCAAGGGGGTAGGTATTCAAGACATGGACGCATAAAATAGGTACACCAATTTTTGTGGGAAAACTTTATTCGACAACAAAGAATGAGAAAACGTGTTTTTTGGAATCCAATCGAAAGTGTTGGCAGGAACGAAAAAACTCTTCATATAAGATATTTAGGTATTTATTAGACCTACATGTCAAAAGATCTGACTAATAGCAAAAAAGTTATGGCCGAAAACTGCAGGTTTTGGCACTTGTTGGTGATGGTTTCTCGCAAATATTTGAAATTCTTCAAATTCGTAGAATTCGTACTTTTAAATAACCACAACAAAGTTGGAGTAGATTTGTCAAGTAGTTTTTGAGAATTTCTAATTGTTTTTACCAAAACACCTATTTTCCGTCCATCACTACTAGTTTATTGAGCAATATACAGGGTTAGTTCAAAGGGCATTTTATAGCAAAATACACTAGTTTACATTGCCGATATTAATCGCACACCATTCCGGAAGATAAATATTATTTTTAAGCAAAAAAAGAAGGGTTACGTTTTTTCTTCTAAACAAATTCAGAAATTTCGTATTTGTGAGTAATTCGGAACAAAAGTCGATAGACACATCCGCTTTGTTCCAAAATGTGTATATATACTAAGTGTCATATAAATCCGAACACCCAGTTTAAATGGTTTTATTTTAATAAAAGTTAGTGAATGTATTTATCTTACTGTAAATAACAAGTAAAAAAATGTTCAGCCTTATCAGTTGGACATTCCGGTTTTTATACTGCTTTTTTTTTAATTCACTAACGCTCTAAAAATGAATATTTCAGCCGCAGTAAAGAATCAACGTTGGCGGATTTTGGTTCTTGACATCCTTTACGATCGGTTACGATGCCTAGAGTACGGAGACCTGTACGATTTCGTCAACTTAGTGAGTTTGATAGGGGCCGTATAGTGGGACTTCGGGAAGCTGGACTTTCTTTTCGGGCAATTGCAGTTAGAGTGCAAATAAGTGTAGACACTGTGGTTAGGTGTTGTCAGGCATGGCTTCGAGAAGGCCGTACGCAAAGAGCAAGGGGCACTGGACGCCGCCGTAGAACAACAGACCGTGAAGATCGACGCCTAAGATTATTGGCCTTAAGGGACCGTTTCTCCACTACCAGGTCCATTGCAAATGAATGGTTTGCAGAACACGGAAGACCTATTGGCGTGCGAAGTGTTTACCGACGAATGAGAAGTTTTGGCTTGTTTTCATACCGGCCACACTGGGTCCTCCCTTTAACTCGAGAACACCGACGTAATCGCCTTGAGTGGTGCAGACAACGGTCACTCTGGGATCAGGAATGGAACAGTATTGTCTTTAGTGACGAGTCTCGATTTTGTTTAGGCATGCACGGTGGTCGTGCCAGGGTTAGAAGGCGACGTGGTGAAAGGAGGAATCCACAGTTTTTTGTTGAAAGACATGTTCATCACACTGTTGGAGTTATGGTTTGGGGTGCTATAGCTTATGGTTCCAGGTCACCTTTAATCTTCATCAGAGGTAACATGAACGCCCAGCGTTATATCCACGAAGTTCTAGAACCCCATCTTTTACCCTATCTTGACACCATGGCAGATCCAACTTTCCAACAAGATAATGTCCGACCACATGTTGCAAGAGTCACAATAGACTTCTTTCAACATAATGATGTCACATTGTTACCATGGCCACCAAGATCTCCCGACTTATCCCCAATTGAGCACGTGTGGGATGTGATGGGTAGGAGATTGCTCAATTTGCAACGTCCTCCTCAGACTCTAGAAGCACTTCGAGAGGAGTTGGTGGTTGCCTGGAATGAGATACCACAGGAGGACATTGACCACCTGATCAGAAGCATGCCTAGGCGCGTTGGAGAATGCGTAGCACATCAGGGTGCATCCACATATTATTAAAGGTCAAAGGGCTTTAAAGCAGTGCAATCATTTTGAAATGTTTATCATTTACTTATTATGCTTCATTAAGTACTTATACAAAATTTTATTAAAATAAAACCATTTAAACTGGGTGTTCGGATTTATATGTCACTTAGTATGTATACCGGTCAAACCCTGTACATGTACTCAAAGAGTTGGTCAAGAACCACCCTAATACTCCAACTCGATATCTATTTCTGTTACGAAAATATCGAGATTTTAATTTGTTTAAAACTTTCGTTGTTGCAAAGCAGTTTAGTTTGATATGTAGAGGTCGAAGATTCATCGTACCTAAGTGAACCTGCCTAACCACGATTCGATTCCACCTTTTAAAAGGATTCGACGCTCTTTGAAATCTCTAACGAAGCTGTAGGAGGTACAGAGTCAATCTACTTAACGCCATTTTGTCGAAGAATCTTTACAACTGACCGTCTGTATTCCTGCCGTTATCTTTGTCAAAACATCGTTTGTTCATTAAGATACTTTTTATTTGATATTGCAGGACTTCAGGAGTTGTTGGTGAAAAACTTTTAAACGGCATGTCGAGAGATGAAGGTGTCCTCAGAAGAAACTCTTGTTATATAATGCAAGACGACAAGCTGCAACCGTTGCTGACTGTCCAAGAAGCGATGTCAGTAGCTGCCGATTTGAAACTGAAATGTTCGAAACAGGAGAAACAGGACAAGGTATATTTTTTCATTCTGAAGGCATAGTTAGAAATATGTTGTTCGTATAGGTTTTGAAGCCTGACGAGCTGGTACTAGTATGCTTAGAATCCACCAAGATTATGAAATGTAGCTCTGAGGAACAAAATTATTTATTGGCTTCTCGAAGTACAGCATAGTTGTAGTATTAACAGTCAAGACTTGAAGTTTACAGCTAGAAAATTCGGTTTTAAAGCAGTTTCTTTTCAGATTGACGAAATCATGAAATCGATGAACCTGACATCACACAAGAGAACAAGAACCGTGAATTTATCAGGAGGCCAGAAAAAAAGACTGTCAATAGCTTTAGAACTGTTAAATAATCCACAAGTATTGTTTTTCGACGAACCAACAAGGTAAGATAAACATTAATTAAGAGTCTGTTGAAATTTGGCAATATTATTTGTTGTATTAAGAGGCTAATTTATATAAATAGACTAAAATTATTACGTCCAGCGGCGCCTAGGGGCCACCTTAACGAATATTATTGGCAAGAAAATGTACGCCACTGCATTTTTTGTAACTTTAACATTTGTTGTTTGATCAAGCAACTAAAAATACAACTTCTTTGCTTCTTGTATTTTTTCGTATCTATCTTCGTTTTCGATAAAAAAACCGTTTTATTACATGTCGCTGAGAGGATCGCTAGTGACTTCAAAAAAAATCTTCGGAAAGAGTGTTATTGCAACTTTTCCAATAGGTACCACGACATAAACTACATTACAACAAATTGATAATTTTTTTTAATTGATCACCCTGTATCTTAAAAACTCCGCATTTCCGGACCCATGTTTATGCACATTTTTTTATATTGTTTAACAACCAATCACCCTCTAAATATCCCTGTCTTTTTTCGAACAACTTGTATAATTTTTACGATATCACTCTATTCTTTAAAAAACTACTTGCCCTTAAAATCGGTCAGTTTTTCTTGGACAAATTTCATGAGCCTGTTCGACCGACATGATCCGTTTAATTTCGTTATCATAAAGTTTGTGGGACTAATTTCATGAGCCTGTTTGACCGACTTGATCCGTTGAACTTCTTTGTTATATCTGACATCTTTTTGATGCCATTTTTTATTTTCCAGTGGTTTGGACAGCGTAACTTCCAAGCAATGCGTAGCGCTGCTGAAACAGCTCGCAATGACCGGCAGAACAGTGATCTGCACGATCCACCAACCAAGCGCCACAATTTTCGAGATGTTCGACCACCTTTACGTGTTGTCGAGTGGCAAATGCATATATCAAGGCTCTGTAAAGGGATTGCTGCCTTATTTGGAGGAGGTTAACTTGAGGTGTCCGAATTATCACAACCCTGCCGACTACTGTAAGTGTTTCGGGATAAGATATTGTTTTTTGGATGTTCCAAAAAAAAATTAGCGGAAATGATCTCAATACAAAAAAAATATAAAGTCAATCTACTTGACGGCATTTTTTTATTTGGTGATTATTTCTTGCAGTGCTAGAAGTCGCCACAGGAGAATATGGAAACTACACCGAAATTCTTGCTGAGAAATCAGAAAATGGGGTCAGTCAAGATTGGAGAAAAAGGCAGAGGAATTCAATAGAACTAGAATCTCTACAACATGTGGGTATGTTATTTGGTTCATACGGCAATTTTTCACAGATCTCAAATATTAAGTCTTCCCATATTTATCATCTCCACTCAAATTTTAAGTTAAACTTCTTCCTTCCGGTTTCGATATTAGATGACAAAGTACCACTTAATTGTACGCTAGGTCTCAATAAGGTACTTGACCCAAATAACGCCATATTAACTGGGTTCGAAATTTAGTCACAAGCTTCCGAATAGCTCGCTCAGTAGGCCGACCAAATTGCCCATAAATTGGAAGCAGTGCTCGATGCACTCTCTTAACCGAGCATGAATTTTGATAGTAAAATTCAATAATTTGCAAGCGTAGTTCGTTCGTAAGTCGATTCATGGTTAAATTATAGACCGAACAGAACAAGATTGACAATGACACAAGACACGATTCACGCGTCATCTGTCAAAAACAGTGTTGCCAAAAAGATACTAGCAAAAAAATCACCCATTATGTATTAGAATGAAAAATATAGTACCATGTTTTCTTATAACAATTCAAACGAACAAATTTTCGCTTTTTTTATATAGATTGCAGTTGGTGCTTTTAGGAACATCTTGTATCAAATAAGCCAACTACGATTTTATTTAAAAAATATATAAAAATGGAAAATAATGAGTATTAACGTAAGTTTTTATTTAAATAGAAACGAAGATTAATTTCCCACATAAAGATATTGTGATCTAGCTTTTTTGCAGAAAACCTGATGAAATCTGGCAAGATAACTCCGATAAGAGCACCGCCGTTGATCTTTCCCAAAGCGTCCGTCCAAAAATATAACTGTGATAACTCGAGTATTTCGAAATCTACCAAGTGCAGCCCTACGTGCCGAAGAACATCATTTTCTTATCAGCTTTTGGTGCTGCTGAAACGAAACTTCGTGATACTCACCAGGTAATATTATGCCTTCTCTGTGTACCGTTCATCACTGAAAAATAATAACTGTTTTCTATTTAACTAAAATCACTCTATATATGTTTTTATTTTCAGGGACAGAACTTTGACCTTTTCCAGACTGTTGACCCACGCGGTCATAGCTTTGTTTATAGGAATTTTATACTATGGAATCGGCGTAGACGCCTCGAATATGCTCAACAATTTCAACTTTGTCTTTTTCACGGTCATGTTTCTCATGATGACTGCCTTCAACTGCATCACTACCACCTGTAAGTTTAGTATATCATTTGTAGTATCTTCGCATACGCTTAGAAAAAATATCCTGGTTCATTTTTTTATAGTCTTATTAAAAAGCACACTTTTTAATGAACCTGCATTTTCCTTTTTTGGGTCATTCGGAACAAAAATTTTGTATGAACTTTTCCTCAAAGTTGATATTCTTTGAGATATAAGCGATTTAATATTTGAAAAAGTAGGGAACAAGCTACACCGAAAAACACTATGAAAACACATTAGCAAAGCTGTTGAATATTTTTCAAACATCCATTAACAAAATCTGAGAGATTGCAATCTCATTCTGGATCACTCTGAAGATTGTGCTAACCATTAAATAAAACCACAATTACTGAAAAGAATCATTTCAACTCAGTCCTTTTCAAAAAAGTTTTCGCCTGCTCAAATTTTCTATATTATTCTATTTACTTCCAGTTCCATCCGAGTTACCAATAATAGCAAGAGAAAACTTCAACAAATGGTACTCACTTAAAACATATTACATAGCAGTTTCCTTGGCTGATGTGCCAGTACAGGTACGTTAACTAAAATACAAGGACTTATTACTTTGTACAAATCATTGAAAAATCATATTATGCATGGTGCCTCATTTTAATATCCCCACCTAGCTATTTCGAAAACTACGCGTGCTAGAAAAAAACTTTCTAACAGACATGATGGTGACCTTGACCATGACCTTTATTACGACATTCAAGGTAATTTCTAGATCAAGCAAATATGTTCAAATGGAAAGCCAGTTTTTCACACCGGAATTGAAAAGAGGAGCAAATTCTACATCTGAATATGACCTTAAACATAATGATGACCTTCAGTCCATTTCAATCTCAAGTGAAGACATTGAAAACAATTTGATCTAGCAAAAATTTTCTACAATAAAGTTGTGGGGGTCATCCATGGGTGACCTTATCATGACCTTCAAGGTAAAATCAAATTTTTTAAAAAATTTGTGACGTATGAATGTGACCTTGACCTCATGTCGATCTTGAATGCAGCCCCTTGATTTTCAGGCCAAAATTGTAGAGAGCAAGACATTTTGTTTCAACATATAAAATTTGATCTTGAAGGTGATGGTCAAGGTCATCGATCAAGATTACCTTTGGGTGACTCGCACAAATCTCGCAACTGCTCTGGCGAACATTGCCGTTAGAGCAAATTGTTGTCAGTGTCTTTATTTGACCTTGAAATGACCCTGAAGGTTATTATGATGATCGTAGTCTCTCTGACGTAAAGTTCCTCCTCTTTCCACTTCCGATTGAAAAAGGGGGAGTTCTATTTAAAAATATTCGCTTGTCCTTGAAAAGACCTTGAAGCTCGCAGTGAAGGTCATTATCGGCTCCCCCTCGAAACCCTACATCTTTTATTTGAATCTTTTTTCTAGGATGGGTAGTTTTCGATATATTTGGGTGGGACACCCTATATATTTGTTTCCTTTTTAGGTAACTGCCACCATAATTTACGCCTTAATAACGTACTTCATGACTCATCAGCCGATAGAGCCATATAGGATAGGACTGTTTCTTTTTATGTGTATATTGATATCGCTAGTTGCTCAAAGTTTTGGACTTTTCATCGGAGCCTGTATGGAGACCAAGGTAAGGCCAATTGATTCACATTAGGATAATACTGGTGTTTGTCGTAGTCATTTCATGAAATGATCGAGGATTCCATAAAATTTTCACATTTCGTATGTACCCGTCGACCAGATTTTGATGAGCGTTGACCAAATCAATGATAACAAATAATTTATCGATATAATCAACTACTTCATGATATAGTCAAGGATGTTTGATCAAATCGTAAAACAATTACATTAACTACCGTTTGTTTACATTTCAACACACCAAATCATCGTTAATAAAAAAAATTGTTTTGCGAAGTGAAAATTCTAATAATAATAGTAAGTCGTTGCTAAATGAGGAACAAAGTGAGATTAGAAGACTTTAATACAAAATGAGGCACTTGAGTATTACATTCGGGTTTTTTATATTACAATAATGTGATCAATCATGGATGACCAAATCGTTAAACGTTGACGATTTTACTGTATGATCAATAGTGCATGACCAAATCGTTATGTATTGACGACTAGACGATATGGTCAATCGTGGATGACCAAATCGTTTAACGTCGTCAATGTGACGATATGGTCAATCGTGGATGACCAAGTCGATAAGCGTTGACGATGTGGTCAATTGTGTTTGACCAAATTGTTAGAAGCTTATGATATGGTCAATCGTGGATGAGCAAACTGTTAAAGATTGTCAATTTGATATAGTCACTGGCGGATGATCAAATCAAACCAAATTTTAAACGTTTACGATTTGATTATATGGTCAATCGTGGATAATCAAATTGTTAAACTTTGTCAATTTGACGATATGGTCAGTCGTGGATGACCAAATCGTTGAGCGTTGATTTGACGGCATGGTTAATCGTGGATGACCAAATTGTTAAGCGTTGACGATGTGGTCAATCGTGGTCGATCAAATTTATTGTTAAACGTTTACGATTTGATTATATGATCAATCGTGGATAAGCAAATTGTTAAACGTACGTTGTCAGTTTGACGATATGGTCAGTCGTGGATGACCAAATCGTTGAGCGTTGACGATGTGGTCAATCGTGGTCGACCAAATTGTTAAACGTTTACTATTTGACGATATGGTCAGTCGTGGATGACCAAATCGTTGAGCGTTGACGACTTTTTGTATACTCCAACTACCGCGAAGGCCTAGGGCCTAAACACTCATGGGGTACCGTGGCGTTTCAGGGGGATACAGGGGAAAGGGCGAACGCCACACGGACTCTGGCGAGGGAACATTTGTGCATTCAACATGCACACATTCTCGCCCCGCCTACGAGATCCGCTGGGTGATACCTCTGCGTTTGACAGTTAGAGACCGTCTACCACCTACGGACAATCACAACAACCATAGCCAAGAGAAAACATTTTTTTTGGGACGGGATACGAACCCGCACAGCACACGGCGACTGATCAGGACACCGAAGAGTCTACTACTGCGGCCACCGCTGCTGCCTATTTGACGATATGGTCAATTGTGGATGACCAAATTGTTGAACTTCGTCAATTTGATGGGCAATCATGGATGAGCAAATCGTTAAGCGTTCATGTTCACTGGTACTAGCTGTGTGTGTTGTCTGAACATCATCATACTTGAGCTATATGGCTTAGATTTGATGTGATGTAACATCCGCTCAGGGATGGCGGAGGCGGAGGCCATTTATGACTTGTATGGCTTAAGACGTAAATATACTATAGGTCGTTGTGGCATTCCTTCATAGGTGGCGTTCGGGTACGCGGGGCGTTGTAGTCAGATTGACGTTATACCGATTATATCGTAATACCCCTGCCGGATCGAAATTCAGTATCAATTGTCTACATTTTTTGTTTCAGAACGGCGTAATCTTCGGTCCCTTTTGCCTCCTTCCCTTCACAATCTTCTCAGGCTTCTTCGTACAGCTGAACGCGTCTCACCCTTACCTGCGTTGGCTCTTCCACGTCTCCTTCCTGAAATACGGCCTGGAAGGGCTCATGCTCTCCATCCTGGGCTACGACAGGCCCAAACTGCCCTGCGAAGAAGCGGATTACTGCCATTACGTCTACCCCGAGAAGTTCCTCGGACAGATGGACATGGACCAGGCGCGTTATTGGGTCGCAGTCACGTTCCTTGTGGGACTGTTTTTCGCTATCAGGATCGCCGCGTTCTATGCGCTCAAGGTGCAGATTCGGTATAACAAAAATAGGAGGTAGCAGTGAGTGTTTGTTAGATCGGTGTTTATACGAAAACTAAGGTAGATGCAAAAATATACTCAGGCCTGTGCAAAATTTGTGACCTAGACCCAAAGTCTACCAATCGAAAAGTGGGGTTTGCATTACAGTTGCAAATTCGATGAATCAAAAATAAGCATCATGTCCATTGAGGTTAGCGACAAAAACCTATTTTTTTACTGGTCAGTCAAATTAGATCATTAATGTTTGTCTTTGCTGTACAAAAATCTTCTTAATAAATTCTTTGACATAGACATAAATTAACGCAATGCTTATTCTTTAACAAACATCTTGTATTATTTTTTCGCTTATAATCGGTAGACCAAAAACCTAAGCGTATAAAGACTACGATCCTCTTTTGTAGAGGATACAACTTTCTAGACAAATACCAGAATTGATGACCGTACCAGAAGTTATCGTGCGCCACTGCTTTCTTCCCTATTAGAATGAACATCTTGATCGGATTCCATTATTAATGATAATCAACTTTTATATTTTGCCATATTTGAGGTGCTATGTAAATACAATGTAATATATATTATTATATATGAAATATATTTTATACAGTATAGTTTAATCTTATTCACCCCATGTGCCTTCCTGTTAAAAAAATTAAACGTGTTAAAAAATGGCGTCAACTTAGTTAGCTCTGCATTTTCGATGCAACCATGTCATCAGTTCATAAATGATTGTGGTCAATCATGAATGATCAAATCATTAAGGGTTGACGTTTTGACGATATGGTCAATCGTGGATGACCAGATCGTTAAGCGTTGACGCTGCGGTCAATCAAGGATGACCAAATCGTTAATATTTGACGATATAGTCAATCGTGGGTGACCAAATCGTTGAGCATTGACGATGTGGTTAATCGTGGATAAGTTTTACGGGCAAATGTACGGGGACATTGTTAAGCGTTGACGATATGACGATATTGTCAATCGTGGATGACCAACTTTGACGAAATGGTCAATCGTTAAGCATTGACGATGTCGTTATTCATGAATGACCAAATTGTTAAGCGTTGACGATGTGATCAATCGTGGATTACCAAATCGTCAAGTGTTGACGATATGGCCAATCGCGGATGACCAAATTGTTCAACGTTGACAATTTGACGATGCGGTCAATCATCGATTACCAAATTGTTTGGTGTTGACGATGTGGTCAATCGTGGCCGACCAAATTTTTAAACATTGACGATGTGGTCAATCATGAATGACCAAATCATTAAGGGTTGACGATTTGACGATATGGTCAATCGTGGATGACCAGATCGTTAAGCGTTGACGATGCGGTCAATCACGGATGACCAAATCGTTAATCTTTGACGATATGGTCAATCGTGGCTGACCAAATCGTTGAGCATTGACGATGTGGTCAATCGTGGATAAGTTTTACGGGGACATTGTTAAGCGTTGACGATATGACGATATTAGTAAATGGTCAATCGTTAAGCATTGACCATGTCGTTATTCATGAATGACCAAATTGTTAAGCGTTGACGATGTGATCAATCGCGGATTACCAAATCGTCAACCGTTGAAGATATGGCCAATCGCGGATGACCAAATTGTTAAACGTTGACAATTTGACGATGTGGTCAATCATCGATTACCAAATTGTTTGGCGTTGACGATGTGGTCAATCGTGGCCGACCAAATTTTTAAACATTGACGATGTGGTCAATCATGAATGATCAAATCATTAAGGGTTGACGTTTTGACGATATGGTCAATCGTGGATGACCAGATCGTTAAGCGTTGACGCTGCGGTCAATCAAGGATGACCAAATCGTTAATATTTGACGATATAGTCAATCGTGGGTGACCAAATCGTTGAGCATTGACGATGTGGTCAATCGTGGATAAGTTTTACGTGCAAATATACGGGGACATTGCTAATCGTTGACGATATGACGATATTGTCAATCGTGGATGACCAACTTTGACGAAATGGTCAATCGTTAAGCATTGACGATGTCGTTATTCATGAATGACCAAATTGTTAAGCGTTGACGATGTGATCAATCGCGGATTACCAAATCGTCAAGCGTTGAAGATATGGCCAATCGCGGATGACCAAATTGTTAAACGTTGACAATTTGACGATGGGGTCAATCATCGATGAACAAATTGTTTGGCGTTGACGATGTGGTCAATCGTGGCCGACCAAATGTTCAAACATTGACGATGTGGTCAATCATGAATGATCAAATCATTAAGGGTTGACGTTTTGACGATATGATCAATCGTGGATGACCAGAACGTTAAGCGTTGACGATGCGGTCAATCACGGATGACCAAATCGTTAATCTTTGACGATATGGTCAATCGTGGCTGACCAAATCGTTGAGCATTGACGATGTGGTCAATCGTGGATAAGTTTTACGGGGACATTGTTAAGCGTTGACGATATGACGATATTAGTAAATGGTCAATCGTTAAGCATTGACCATGTCGTTATTGATGAATGACCAAATTGTTAAGCGTTGACGATGTGATCAATCGCGGATTACCAAATCGTCAACCGTTGAAGATATGGCCAATCGCGGATGACCAAATTGTTAAACGTTGACAATTTGACGATGTGGTCAATCATCGATTACCAAATTGTTTGGCGTTGACGATGTGGTCAATCGTGGCCGACCAAATTTTTAAACATTGACGATGTGGTCAATCATGAATGATCAAATCATTAAGGGTTGACGTTTTGACGATATGGTCAATCGTGGATGACCAGATCGTTAAGCGTTGACGCTGCGGTCAATCAAGGATGACCAAATCGTTAATATTTGACGATATAGTCAATCGTGGGTGACCAAATCGTTGAGCATTGACGATGTGGTCAATCGTGGATAAGTTTTACGTGCAAATGTACGGGGACATTGCTAATCGTTGACGATATGACGATATTGTCAATCGTGGATGACCAACTTTGACGAAATGGTCAATCGTTAAGCATTGACGATGTCGTTATTCATGAATGACCAAATTGTTAAGCGTTGACGATGTGATCAATCGCGGATTACCAAATCGTCAAGCGTTGAAGATATGGCCAATCGCGGATGACCAAATTGTTAAACGTTGACAATTTGACGATGGGGTCAATCATCGATGAACAAATTGTTTGGCGTTGACGATGTGGTCAATCGTGGCCGACCAAATTTTCAAACATTGACGATGTGGTCAATCATGAATGATCAAATCATTAAGGGTTGACGTTTTGACGATATGATCAATCGTGGATGACCAGATCGTTAGGCGTTGACGATGTGATCAATCGCGGATTACCAAATCGTCAAGCGTTGAAGATATGGCCAATCGCGGATGACCAAATTGTTAAACGTTGACAATTTGACGATGGGGACAATCATCGATGAACAAATTGTTTGGCGTTGACGATGTGGTGAATCGTGGCCGACCAAATTTTTAAACATTGACGATGTGGTCAATCATGAATGATCAAATCATTAAGGGTTGACGTTTTGACGATATGATCAATCGTGGATGACCAGAACGTTAAGCGTTGACGATGCGGTCAATCACGGATGACCAAATCGTTAATCTTTGACGATGTCTTTATACATGAATGACCAAATTGTTAAGCGTTGACGATGTGATCAGTCGCGGATTACCAAAGCGTTGAAGATATGGCTAATGACGGATGACCTAATTGTTAAACGTTGACAATTTGACGATATGGTCCATCATGGATGACCAAATTGTTTGGCGTTGACGATGTGGTCAATCGTGAGTGACCAAACCGTCAAACGTTGACGATTTGACGATATGGTCAATCGTGGAGGACCAAATCGCTGATCGTTGACGATGTGGTCAATCGCACTTTCCAAGTTATAGACAGACAGTCAAAAATACCGAAAATGAGTGAGATGGTTTTTCGTGTTGTACATGTCATATAACATCTAAAAACGTAATATCACACATATCAGAAAAAAATGGGGTCAAGTATATTAATTGCACTTTCCACGCAACATCGTCATCAGTTCATCAAGGATCATGTTCAGCACAAATTGAGAAATTGGTCCATAGACTACCCTACCGGTAGTCGGTACATCTGGCAACGTCACCTCTCCTCGTTGCGCAGCACAGCAACAGTAATACCAAGACACTTATCAAGATCGGCGCGCCCAACAGTGAACCCAGAGAGCAGAAGCAAAAGGGCGCGTTTTAAGAGTAAGTTTACATGGAAATATGTCTAATAGGTGTGTAGAATTACCGAGGGAGGGAGCGTATAAATATATTGGCAAAATTGAGACATACCCTCTTCCATCACCCTAAATCTCAAACGTCGTTTTTCGATTTTGTGATTTTTATTTTTTCCGTTATAGACCTTTTCCTCTGCCGCCACTGGACCGATTTTCAAAAACTACAGACAGACATATATATGAACATATATCATCGAAAAAAAGAATACCTCATTTTCGAGATTGAATTTTCAGAAAAAATCGAAACCTGACTATTTAACTCTCGGTCACTCTATACGGTGTAGTACGTAGGAAAACATTAGACAGTTTGAGATTTTTGAACTCAGACATATTTGAGAATATTTGTGTAAGTGGAATGTTAAGAAAGTTCATATCATTGCGTTACCATGGCGAGAATAAAGTTGATCTACTTGACTCGATTTATTTTACATCAGTCTGTTTCTAGTAAAATTATCGCGTTGAAACGCATACGTTTTTCTTTCCACTGCCTTTGTTCATCATAATAAAAACACGTTGACCTGCCAAAATCTCACGATGCCAATTCGCAGACACGCGTATTTTTGTTTTCTTCAATCTATTTTTAACCAAAGGCAAAAGAACAAAGACCCATTCCGGTATTGGCGAGTCATTTGTTAAAGTCTCAGATGCTAAAAACTCGTTGAAAAAACGCGGCCGTTCAATATTCGTTTAAAACTGTAATCTTTTTATTACACAATATCCACAAAATGATCATTCACATTGTAAAATTTGAATGCAAAAGATACACGAGACTGCTTATACAACAAATACAATTAAATTGATAACTCAAATATCATCAGCTTCTAGCGCTTCGCGGTCTTTCGATCTGCGCGTCTAGGCTATACCTTAGGTTGTTTCCCTCGCCGACTGACCTTGCGCGTCTGTTGTCATCCTTTGACTCCTAGGTTTGTTCGTAAAGGCGTTACGGAATGCTTGGGTTTCAACAAGTTCGTAATTAACAAATGTAACGGGTAAGTAGAACTACCAATATTTTCGAAATCTTTGTCATTGAAAGTTTCCAATAATTTTAAAATTCTGAACGTATTGGAGATTACGAATATTTTGATGGTATTAAAGATTTCGAAATTTTTTTAAATTTCAATTCATATATTCATTTCCAATAGAACGCAATATGTTTATTATAATGGTTATTGTTCAGTAAATTATATTGTTCCCTCTGGCGTGTCGCAGGGATAGAACCAAGGCCCCGTGCTGTTTTTATTCTTCACTAAAGTGTCACAGCCTACCATTGGCCAATGATCTAAGAATCTACGCCAAAATTACTAATTTAGAGAACTGTATTTAACTTCAAGAGGATCTAGATACCATCATCCGATCTTTTTTTCTCCTTTAATCTTCGTCACATCAACATAAAAAAGTAAGCAATCTGTCATGATTGTCAGTAGTAGTAAATTTTATAACTTTAAACATAACCTGTCTTTAGAAGGGTCAACATATAAATAACCCGTCGGGCACCGCTAATAGATACACTTCATTGGTATCATATTCAGTAATAAATATCACTTGCTACTCAATCAACTTTATTTCTTTCACATCTCAGAGACAAACACAACTTGGCTTTCTGTAACGAACAGTGCATGCTTGAGCGTGTCGTTGACTCATTCCTCCATAGGTGGACGGTTTTGATGACTACCTAGACTGCAAGATGACATTTTGTCGTTGTTTTTAACTTTTTTAGATTGTTTACATGATACCCTTGCGGCACGGGTATAACGTTTCTCAAAAAGTGATATTTCGTCGGTTTTTTGACGTTTCGGAGTTTTTTTTTGAGATTTCGTAGATTGTTCATTTGTTGTGAATTCGTTTTGTAGCTGTACGTGAATAACGATCATAGCAAGCAAACGTGGAATGAACTATTTGCACACTAAAAACTGCCTAGTCTGCAAGATGAAATTTCATCGTGTTTTTTTGACGTTTTTCACATAATAGCTTTTAGTGGTCATGAGATCTCTTGTTAATCCAACCATCTGTATTTACTATCTTTGTTAAAAAATAAACTATCGGAACGACTATCGATTCGTTATTTTTGTAGCACTAAAAACTAGTAGGCATCCCCTGCATAACGAACCCTTGCTGCGCATGCTCTGAACCACCCTACAATCGTCAGCTACCTGCCTTTGCGAACAGTCTTTTTGACGTTTCCCATATTTTGCTGAGCTGTTGTTATAGGTTAGAAGACGTTGAAAACAATGAATATTTTTTAAAAACTGTATCAAAAACTTAAGTGCAACTCCTCCTTAGTGAACGGTAAATTAACCAGTGATATTTTCAGAAAATGAAAGTTACGGTAACAACTCTGACCGATTTCATATTCGTTTTGGACGTGTCCGAAGACCTGGAGCTAGAGAATTTCAAAGCTTTTTGTGAGATAGAGTCCGGGTTTCCGGCCTCCGAGGTGGTGATAGCCTTCAATGGAAGGCCCCTGATGGACAACAAGAAGTCCCTGAAGGAGCATGGGATCAAAGATGGGGACGCTGTGATATTGCAACACATGCAGGGCTCGCAGACTAGCATTGACCAACCCGGGGGCGCTGGTAAGTTTTTTTTCCAAAAGGTCGAGTACCGAGTACTCGGTCGGATTCGAATATGGGTATTCGGTACTCGGGTACCGCGTACTCGGTGGGTTATTTCGTCTATTGTTTATCATATTAAGAGTATGTGTGTACTTAATGTTTTGATTTTTTAAATACATTATCAATCTTGCAACAGCCAGGTGTGTTTTTCACTGTGGAATTCAACAGCTGCGACATTGAGTGAAAATTGAAACCGTTTTTTGACATTGGCACAATTGTTTTTGACATATTTTTCAACCAAGATAAACATAAATTTTTGTTGCAAATAAGCAATGGGGCTTTCCAAAGATGCTTAATTTTTGAAAAATCGCCTATTAGAATTGCTGCCAGATCTTGATCATCACAAACATTGAAACTAAATCTAAAACTCCTGGATATTGTGGCAGGACCGATTCAGATATGGGAAGGATTAAACCTATGAGTAATGAGTTTTTTTGCAGGCGCTTGTGGGATGCTATTATTGTTGTTTCTTTTTTACTTTTGCGGATTACTTTATGTTGTTTTGTGGTTTTTGTTGTTTTTTTTTTAGTTTTCCTATGAAAGAGAAAAGATCAAATCTATATACAGGGAAATCTCTTTTGGACAGACACCGACGGAATCGACTGAAAGTGTCTGTTCAAAAGGGGTGTCAATATAACAGACATACAACTTAAATCGGGTTTTTAATCAAAACTGAATATATTAGAGAAACTGGGACATTCAAAATGCATGTGTATATAAGTATTTTTGAAATAACCAAAAAACTTTAAACTTAAGAAAAAACTGATTATCACCTTTAGATATACGCAAAGTATGTATGTACATACATACAGTATTGCACAAAAGTATATAGACAAATTAATATTGTGCTGAATTTCTTTTTTAACTTGTTTTATTACTACACCAACCTGTATTCATAATTTGTTATAGCCTAATACTCACTTATACATAAATAAATTCATTAGACTCACTTCAATAAAAAATTTATTGGAAAAAACTGGAACTATGGAGGACAAAAATATATAGACAAAGCAAAACAATTATAGAAAAAAGAAGCAAAGTTCATTGAATCACAGAAAACCAACCATGTTTGTGTTAATATTTTGTGTGTAGAGAACTGGTAATTTTTCATCCAGAAAGAATTTCTTTGCAAGATTTGAAGTGTGCTTCGTGTCATTATCTTGCTGGAAGATTGATCTTAAGGGCATATTGTCTTCCATATAGGGTAACATGACATACTTTAGAATGTCTATGTATACAAACTTATCCATAATGCCATCTATTCTATGTAAAGGTCCCAAAAATCACCCCCAAACCATTACAGACCTGCCTCCATGTTTGACAGTGCACAAAGTGTACTTGGGGTTCAATCTTTGTCCACTAGGACGTCTAACGTAATGAACACCATCTGATCCAAACATATTGAACTTGGATTCGTCACTGAAACATACCCTCTTCCAGTCACAGATGCTCCAATCGAGATGCAACCATGCAAATTGTAATTGGTCCTTACGGTTTTTCCTCGAGATTAGCGGCTTCTTACTTGGGCGAAGTGCAAATAACTTCAAATCATTTAATCTTCTACTTATAGTTTTCATAGAAAAACTGGCAATTCCTTTCACTAGCATTTAGTTTTCTAGGCTGACCACTTCTCTTAGCAGCTTCCAAGATACCTTTTTGTTTATATTTGTTCGATATTGCCTATATATTTTTGTCCATTACTGTATGTAGTAACACAAAACAGTGAAAGAAAGAGTCACTTTAAGGACATAAACTTTTTCTTTGAAATGGCATCTTGAAATCATCACCAAGGACCCTTAATCTCACTTATTTTCGACAAAACTTTTGAGCTCCTTGGTCAGAGTAATAGCTTTACTATATTTTGGAAAAGCTTCTGTTGGTAGACATCAGAATCTTCGGAAAGTTCTCGTATCTCACCTAAATTTTCGATTTCTTGACCTGAATCTAGATCTTCAACAGACAAACTTTCATCTACATAGGTTCAAAAAATCATAAAGGTTTTCATTATCAATCAATTTCAATAAATTCCTATTTTTTAGGATACCTGAAAGTTCATTAAGTGGTAAGTCATCTTCTGGTGCAGGTGTATCAGCCTCATTCAACTGGTTTTCATTTTACATATTTTCATGCTTAGCTCCTGCTTTGGAGAAGCAATTTTGCACGGTTTAGTTGGTTACTTGGTCACAAGCAGTTTTTGCCAAATTTACTGCATCCAATGACATAATTTTCTTTATTTACTCAAAAGCTGTACAGCAGTTTCATGTTTACTAGCAGGTGTTTGAGTATTAGATTTTGGTAATAAGTTTTAAAACTCTTTATAATCCTTGGTCAAGGGGTTGACAAGCTCATGTACAATTAGCAAATGTCTTTTGAATGAGGTTTCGCATTGTTGAAAAACAATTAAATGTTTTTTTAGTCATTTTCCAATCTCGGTCTTGTAATTTGTCTTGTCATCCAATCTTTCTGCCTTACCAACGACTAATAGTTTTTCTTTTTCACCCGCCATAATTACACAGTTCAGAATTGCTATATTTGGAGCAATTTCTACAATGAAATAAAAGTCCCCTTTAAAGAATCTGCATGTTACCAGTCCCTAAGCTGCTTCAAAAATTGTTCTAGCAATATTTTCAAACATATTCTAATTGTTTGTTTCATTCTTTTTTAGGTTATTTGGGTCACTCCAAAGAATATTCTTATGAACTTGATAGTTTTCGAGATATTTGCGATTCAATATTCATAATCTCATATACTCACAACAACATCTCTACTTAGAAATTGTTGATTACTGATATTTTTTTCAGTGAATTTCGACTTCAGCAATGTAGCAATTCCAAACAGCTTAAGAAACAGGACACCCGATGATGACCCCGTTTTGATAAGAGATATGTTCCTAGCAAATCCAGATCAACTGGCACTGCTCAAACAGAATAATCCAAGACTGGCTGATGCCTTGTTGAGTGGAAATATTGGTAAGTCACAAGAATCCACACTAGCTGGTCTGACCTTCACGAAAATTATGTCGCTAATTTCCATCAACTGTTTGTCTCTCGGTCGGTTTGTGTGTGCGAGACCGCTTTTTTATACGTTTTTTCTAAGCCTACTCGACGCCGTTTCTTTTCAGAGACGTTTTCCTCGGTGTTGCGCGAGCAAGTCCAAGCGCGCCAGGAGCGCGAAGCACAAAGACTGAGAATGATAAACGCGGATCCGTTCGACACTGAAGCTCAACGAATGATCGCCGAGGAAATCAGACAAAAGAACATCGAGGCGAACATGGAAGCGGCCATGGAATACAATCCGGAATCGTTTGGGACCGTGGTCATGTTGTACATCAACTGTAGGGTCAACGGGTATCCCGTCAAGGCTTTTATTGATTCAGGTTAGTCGTTTCGTTCGTACTGAGCTTATAAGTCCATATACAATTCCAAATATCGTTTATTTTGTGATACCACGTGCGTCAGCGAGAACAACAGCACCATCTGTCGGCGACCACCGACTGTATAGTATCTAGAAGCTGTAGAAGAAACGTCCAGTACTCTCAAACTCCGGTTGGAATCGACAAATTATCTACTCTAAAAATACTACACTATATTACTAAGATTTTTATACAAAGTGGACCAGAAAAATATTTTTTTTTAAGTTATTAGCACTTCTTACCAAACCAAAAAATACTTTTGATGTTACGCCACCGGAATACACCCCAATATTAAGAGTAGTAACTTGGATTTGTACATTAAGCTGTTTAATTGCAAAGTAAAATTTATAAATTCTGTTTAAACTACATAATGTCAAAGTAGCAAATTTTTACTTAACGCCACTTGAGGCAGTAACGTTCAATGAGCTTTTCAATCTTTCCTCGGACACAAATGCAATTATGAGAAAAAATACCCATTATTACGAGAAACCTCAAAAAAGTCGCTTTTTTAGGGATAAATGTCACACTCCTTTAAAATTCGATAATTTGAGTTAAAGCCAACTTTCGAAAAATTGGAGAAAGTGCTTTTTTTAGGATAGTTCAAAGATCAAAAAGATGCATAGAAAAATTTCCAAGATAAAATATTGAGAATCTGACATAGCCCCAAACTTTGCTAAAAAAGACTAATTTCCCTCGATATCTCTTTCTGTTCCGAAAATATCGAGAACTGAATTTGAATAAAATTTTCCGTGTTGCAAAGCATATGTCCACCAATTTAGAAATTAAAGCTTCAAAATACTTTTTTTTAAGGCTAGGTACGACGATTTTTCACCGAAAAATTTGGATTTTTTTCTCGATTCACTATTACTTTCAGGCGCCCAAACGACGATAATGTCGAGCCGTTGCGCTGAACGCTGCAACATCATGCGTTTGGTCGACACGCGATGGGCGGGCGTGGCCAAAGGCGTCGGCGTGCAGCGCATCATCGGGCGCATTCACATGGTGCAAATCCAGATAGAGAACGTCTACTTGACGACCAGCTTCTCGGTGCTGGAGGAACAGCCCATGGATATGTTGCTGGGGCTGGATATGCTCAAAAGGCATCAGTGCTGCATTGACTTGCATGCAAACGTGCTCAGGATAGGTATGTTGAAGTTACTTTATTTAAATATTAACTGTAGGTTGTAGGATAGTGTCTGTCTTTCACACTGTGATCTCCACCAAATTCAAAACCATCTTTGTGCTCAGTATCATTGAAGTATTAATTGTTTTCAGCGTTGACTAATTTTTATTTAGCACTCGTCTTGGAACTTAGGTGGCTTATAGCTTTCTTGGCGTAAAAAAATGTGTATTTTTATATTTTGTAGGAACTACTAGTACTGAAACCTCATTCCTTTCCGAAAGTGAATTGCCCGACTGCGCGAGGCTTAGCGGCGCATCTGAAGAAGATGTTATGGCTAAATCGAGGAAAGAAGCAGAGGATAAGGACTTACAAAAGGCGCTACGAAACAGCAAACACGGTGAGGCTCAACTTTGTTAAGGTCGCTTTTAAATTTTTCAAATATGCAATTTTGGAATTTTAATGGTTTAATTTCCTGCAGGTGTTGTATAGATTTTGTTAATATATACTAGTATCTGAAATTACCTCTATGCAACTGTCCAGGTGTCTTTTTTGCTTGTTTCCTTAGGCTTAGGCGGTTAATATGATTGACTAGAAACAACGTATTCCTTAAGTCACAAATAATGTTCCGCACGAAGAGTGAACGGCAACACTATGCTTGATGCTGTCCGTCTAGTTTTGGGCGGGCAGTACCAAGCAAACAGGCTGGGATGGCCGGTAGTACTTAGAAAACTCAAAATAAGTTTGATTTTTAGACAAAAGACGGGGAAAAGATACCTACTCTGGATGCCCAACCGAAACCCCGCCCAAAAGGAGCAGAGACCAATGCACCCGATCCAGACGTTCTCACCATCCCAACCCATAATATCCTATTGATACACTACGACATGACACCATGTTTTAATTGACATACCATATTCTACCCAAAAAAGTATCTGAAATACCTTGGCGCCATCTATAGAATCGAACACGAACATGAATTTAGGCCCACATCTACGGTTGACCCTTAAGGGTTGAGTGGCCTTGAGTGATCATCACAGGTTTTCAGGTTTTTCAATATTTGCAAGCAACCTAGAATTTTGAAAGTTTTAACAATGCTAATAAATTTTCAGTATTATGAAAATTTTGTTGTTAAAACCTCGAAAATTTTGATTATGATGAATATTTTCATTTTCCAAGATTCTCAAAAAATCAATGTTCAAAATTGTAAGTTTCAAATATTTTCAGTAACGTAAACCTTGAGTGATACTTGAAGAAGGTTGTAACAGGTCGCAACACGGGTTTTCAGGTTTTTCAAAATTTTTGAATTTGCAATTTTGATAATCCTGAAAATTGATAATTTTGAACATTTTAAAAATTCTGAAAATTTTGAGTATCTATTATGCAAATTTTGGAAGTTCTTGAAACTGTCGAAAATCTTCAAATGTATAAAAATTTTGAATGTTCTGAAAATTTTGTAAATCATGAAAAATATTTGAATTCTGAAAACTGAAATATTTTCAAAATAATGAAATTTCGGAACTTCAAAAAATTGGATATTTGTAAAATTTTCGAAAAATTAAATAGCTATAAAAGTTTTGAATGATTTGAAAATTAGAAATTTTAACAATTTCGGATATTCTAAAAACTGAAAATTTTCAGAGTCTTGAAAATCCAGAAATTTTTTTGAAAAACTACAAAACATTGAAAATCGAGAATTTAAAAAAAATTTAAGGTAATCAAACATTCAGGAAATTTTCAAAATATTGTTAAATTTGAAAATTTCGGAAATGTTGAAAAAAAAACTTCGAAACTTTGGAAATTTTGAAAAATATTTGAAGTCTGAAAACTGAAAATTTTTTTAAATAATGAAAATTCGGAAAAACTTTGGAAATTTTGATTCAATAAATAATGCGAACATTTAAAAAATTTTAAAGTTTTGTTCAACTGAAAATCTCGAAAATTTTGAAAACCTGCATCTTTTGAAAATTTACGAAAAATTTGAGAAATATGTATAAGAATTGAAGATATTGAAAATCCTGTAAAACTCGAAAATTTCAAGAATTTTGAAAAATGAAAATATTGCAAATAAAGAATTTTAAAGAATTTGAAAAGAAAAATCTGAAAGTTTCTAAAATATTGTTAAATTTGAAAATTTCGGATATTTTGAAAAATATTTGAATTCTGAAAACTGAAAAATTTTCAAAGTAATGAAATTTCTGAAAATTTTGAAAACTCGCATCTTTTGTGGAAGTGGAAATTTTGAAGATCGAAATCGAAAAATTTAAAAATATTGAAAATCGAGAATTTAAAAAAATGGAATGTAACTGAAAAATCTAGATCTTTCGGAAACTTTGAAATAAGAATTTTACAAATTTAAAAATCTTGAAATTTTTGGAAGATATTAACAATGACTTGAAAATCTGGAAATCTGAAGATATTAAAAATTTCCAAAATTGCTGCATAGCCCACAATCGGCACTCGGCCATTAAGGGTCCACTGTAAATGTGCGCCTAAATTCATCTTCGTTCTCCTACAGTCTCATAGATGGCGCAATGGTATGTCAGTTTCTCTTTTGGTCGCCGTAATACGGTATATTGTTGGCTATCTTCAAGTAGAAGACGTTATTTAAAGGTTTTAGTTCAAATGCTCCAACTTTTATGATCCTAAGTGAGGATTAAGGATGTATGTCACGTCGTAGTGTTATCCATTCCTTTATACAGTTTGTTCTATTTGTGATTAGACTGCATGGATTTAAGGTGCATGGATGTAAGAGCTTGAAAACGTGCCATGCACTATACGAAACTTTTTTGCCACGAAAAGGCCTAGTGCTACAAACTTGTATTTCTTAAACAACGTATTTATAAAGGGTATTATTATTATAACTTCTCCAAAACCATGCAGTTTTAACTTAAATAAATGGAACATGCACATGGTAAAGATTTCTTTTTAATAATTATATATTATTGAATATATGTCTGTTTGGTTCATTTTGGTTTTGCTGACTTCGATAGTATAATCTTAATAAGTGTCCTGCCACTTTCAAGGGTTTTTACGTTCAAGCACAATTAAAGTCCAGGATCAGGATGACTACTAAAGGTCAAATGATTTAGTGTGTGCTGCTAGGAAAACCTATACAAATCTTACAGAATGAGTGATGAAAATAACTATCAAGGCAGGTCTTTGGTAAATTTTAACGAGGAAGTGAACGCTGACCTTGGATTTGACCTTGGAATTCAAGGTTATTTTGAAGTCAACTTTTTTTTTATGGAAAACCTTATTTTTGATCTGGGCAAACGAAGGAGCGGACAATTTTACGTTCAAATACGAATTGAAGTCCAAGGTCAGAGTGTCATCTGAAGGTCAAATGTGTGCTGCTAGAAAAGCCTCTATGAATCTTACAGGATTGGTAATGAAAACAAGTGTCTAGGCCAGGTCTTTGGTAAAATTTGACGAGGAAGTGAACGCTGACCTTGGAGTTGACCTTCACCTTCAAGGTTATTTCAAAGTCAACTTTTTTCGTGGAAAACCTCATTTTTGAACCCAGCAAACGAAAGAGCGAAGTGAACGGTAATCCTGGATTTGACCGTGATCCTTATTTCAAGGTCGAGTTCAAATTTTAATTTTTGATTCCGGCAATGGAAAGAGCACAAAATTTTAAGTTCAAATACGAATTGAGGACCAAGGTCATGGTGATCATTAAAGGTCAAATGGAGATAAAGTGTGCTGATATGAAAACCACGATGAATCTTACAGAATGAGTGATGAAAATAACAATCAAGGGCAGATCTTTGGTAAATTTTAACGAGCTGACGTTGGATTTGACCTTGACCTTCAAGGTTATTTTAAGGTCTACTTTTTTTTATGGAAAACCTTATTTTTGATCTGGTCAAACGAAGGAGTAGACAATTTTACGTTCAAAAACGAATTGAAGTCCAAGGTCAGGGTGTCATCTAAAGGTCAAATGTGTGCTGCTAGAAAAGCCTCTATGAATCTCACAGGATTAGTAATGAAAACAAGTGTCTAGGCCAGGTCTTTGGTAACATTTGACGAGGCAGTGAACGCTGACCTTAGAGTTGACCTTGACCTTCACCTTAAATGTTATTTCAAAGTCAACTTTTTTTTATGGAAAACCTCATATTCAAACCTGGCAAACGAAAGAGCGAAGTGAACGGTGATCTTGGCTTTGACCTTGATCCTTATTTCAAGGTCGAGTTCAAATTTTAATGTTTGATTCCGGCAATGGAAAGAGCACAAAATTTTAAGTTCAAATACGAATTGAGGACCAAGGTCATGGTGATCATTAAAGGTCAAATGGAGATCAAATGAGTGCTGATATGAAAACCACGATGAACCTTACAGAATGATGAGTGATGAAAATAACTATCAAGGGCAGGTCTTTGGTAAATTTTCACGAGCTGACGTTGGATTTGACCTTGACCGTCAAGGTTATTTTAAGGTCTACTTTTTTTATGGAAAACCTTATTTTTGATCTGGGCAAACGAAGGAGTAGACAATGTTACGTTCGAATACGAATTGAAGTCCAAGGTCAGGGTGTCATCTAAAGGTCAAATGTGTGCTGCTAGAAACGCCTCTATGAATCTCACAGGATTAGAAATGAAAACAAGTGTCTAGGCCAGGTCTTTTGTAAAATTTGACGAGGCAGTGAACGCTGACCTTGGAGTTAACCTTGAACTTCACCTTCAATGTTATTTTAAAGTCAATTTTTTTTATGGAAAACCTCATTTTTGAACCCGGCAGACGAAAGAGCGAAGTGAACGGTGATGTTGGATTTGACCTTGATACTTATTTCAAGGTCAAGTTCAAAATTTTAATTTTTGATTCCGGCAATGGAAAGAGCAGAAAATTTTTAGTTCAAATACAAATTGAAGACCAAGGTTATGGTGATCTCTAAAGGTCAAATGGAGATCAAATGTGTGCTGATATGAAAACCACGATGAACCTTCCAGGATTAGTGATGAAAATAACTTTCAAGGTCAGTTCTTCAGTAAATTTTGACGAACGATCTTGGATTTGGCCCTGACCGTCACGTTCAAGATCAATTCAGTCATTTTTTCTTAAACGGAAACCTGCAGAAACGGTATCGGTTAAAAATATTTTGTAATGATCACTGTAGGTAAACTTAATTTTTTTAATGGAAACCTCTGTAAATTATGCCGGAATTTCTAAGAGCTGGAAACTTTACATTCTAATATTTATTAAAATTCAAGTTCCAGATGACCGCAGCGTCTAAACGTAAAATAATTATAAAATTTAATTTATATATTATAAAATTATTTATAAAATAAATATAAATTATAAATAAAATCGTTATTTTTATTGGCGGCATTAAACATAGGGGTTCCTAACTGAAAAAATAAAGTAAATTAACCTTGAAGGTGAAGGTCAAGGTCACCGTTGAAGTCCTTTTTGAAAATTGCTGAAGTCCTGACCTAGATCTTTTCCAAAAATACCTTACCCGATGAAATACAGAACCGTTCCGGGACTTTTGTCTCACGCTGTATGTTTTCACCCATAAAAACTTTTAGCTATTTTCTTTCTCCGACAGACATGGGCAGCAGTAGCAGTAGACCAGGATCGACGCCTCAGGCAGCCCCTGCTACCGTGTCAAAACCACCGTCAGAACCAGCAGCAAGTCTAAACGTGCTACCGGGCGACAAGTTCACGCAGGCGGATATCAACGAACTTGTCGCTATCGGTTTCACGCAAGATCAAGTGGTGTTCGAACTGAGACGGTTCAACGGCGACAAAACACAAGCTATGGCCGCTCTTTTCGCGAAATCGCTTACATTTAACTAGCGCGTAGTCTAGCGACAAGTTCACCTGAACTTGTTGTGACGGATTTTCCAAGTGGCATTTGAAGTGTTTCGTTTGAACGGGGACAAAAAGCCACTGTCGCGTTTACCAAGGCATAGCGGTACTGAACGACACTGACGGTATTTCGGGGCCCGAAGAGGGACGTACATTTAGGAATCTAGTTTGAAAGTAGTTTAAGGGATTAGTTCTGCTACTGTCGTATAGATGGCGATGGATCTTTGATTCCTTTTTGTCGACTTTAAGATCCGTTTCAATTAGGTGTCTTCAAATACCCACCACGTTCCATCTGAGGATAACCAGTTAAATATAGAAAAATATAGATGTATTCATAATTAAAAACGCTTCTTTTGTGTGGTAAACTAAGGATAGCCTGACGCAGTTGCGAGTTTTTATTTTTTTATGCTTTAAAAAATGGTGCCACCAGTTCATTTGTGCGTACAAGTAATCATTGCAAAAACAGTAGCGCTATGTACTGATGAACGCGACTTATGTATTTTTTAAACGAACGATGAGTCATCCAAAATTTGTTGGCAGAATCGTTTCAATGTGCTAGCTTCAGTTACAATTTTTCGATAATGATAATGTCAGTGAATTGTCCATATCCGCAAGGTCAAATGTTTCAATGGTTTCAATCTATGGTAATACGGACGTTATTTCGTGAACTGAGTCAGCGTTGGTATTTGTTATGAAATTCGCAATTTGCTCTAAACCTTAACTGCTTATTGTTTCTTGTTAAACATTAATATTCACACTTAGAGATTATAAAACAACAAACAAATATCACCTTGGCCATGGCCTTCAGATATTGAAAATAGCAAATATGTTCGCCAGCACGGTTGAGAGGTTTGAGGGGATCACCGAAAGATGACCTTCAAGGTCAAGGTGGAAATTTCTAGAGGAAACCTCCCATTTTTGTACTGGAAATATAAAAAGCTGGAAATTTTACGTCCGAATTTCGACATCAAATAACATTTGACTTTGACACGACCTTGACTTTGAGGACAAGGTCACATTCGGACGTAAAATTTCCTGCTTTTTCCTCTTCCAGGGTAAAAATAAGAGGTTTCCTTTGGGAATTTCGACTTGATCTTGAAGGTCATGGTCAAGGTCACATTTGAGTTATCGCAACGGAATTGAAGAGGAGGAAATCTTACGCCCAAATAACACCTTGGTCATGGCCTAGAAGATTCAAACAAGATATTGAAAGTAGCAGCACAGTTGAGAGGTTTGAGGGGATCACCGAAAGATGACCTTTAAGGTCAAGGTGGAAATTTCTATAGGAAACCTCCCATTTTTGTACTGGAAATATGATAAGCTGGAAAATTTTTCGTCCGAATGTGACCGTGACCCCAAACAACTCTTGACCTTGACTTTGAGATCAAGGTCACAAACGGGCGTAAAATTTCCCTTTTTCCTCTTCCAGTGTAAAAATAAGAAGTTTTCATAGGAAATTTCGAATTGACCTTGAAGGTCATGGTCAAGGTGACATTTGGGTGATCGCAACGGAATTGAAGAGGAGAGAATCGTACTCCTAAATATCGCCTTGGTCATGGCCTTCAAGATTCAATCAAGATATTGAAAACAGCAAATATGTGCCAGCACAGTTGTGAGATTTAAGGGGATCATCCAAAGATGACCTTCAAGGTCAAGGTGGAAATTTCTTAAGGAAACCTCCCATATTTATACGGGAAATATACAAAGCTGTAAATTTTACGTCCGAATGTGACCTTGACCTCAAACAACTCTTGTCCTTGACTTTGAGGTCAAGGTCACAATCGGACGTAATATTTCCCTTTTAAATTATTAGAGGAAGCATCCTATTATTATACTGGAAATAGAAAAATTAGGAATGTGTTTAAGGTCAACTCAAATAACATGTCCTTGACAATGACCTTGATTTTGAGGTAAAGGTCACATTCGGACTTAAAATTACCTGTTTTTTCTCTTTCAATGTAAAAATAAGATCTTTCCTTTGAAAATTGTGACTTGACCTTGAAGGTATGGTCAAGGTCATATGTGGGTGACCCGCACAGCCACAACTGTGATGTCACCTTTGCTATTATATAGCAATTATACATTGTTTACGTTGTCTTGAGTTGACCTTGAAGGTCATGGCTACGGTGATATTCGGAATTTTCAATTGCGACGTGAAGAAAGGGGATTATATTTAAAAGTATCCATTTGACCTTGAAATAATCTTGAACGCCCTGCAACTTTTGTTTGAAACTTTATCGGTTGCACAGTTTTCGAAATATTTATGTGGGGTTTTTAAAATGGGACTCCTCTATTCGTACAAAGATTATTTCACATTTTTTTGTAAATATACTTTTATAGGTATGTTTTTAACGTATCAAATGTCATGATTGAACTCAAAATACAATGTACAGCTGGTTTCTACGAATGGTAGTACGAAATAGTATAATAATTGGATTGTATTTAATCAGCGTATCTATTTTCTCTTAAAATATTGATTATCATTAAATATATTCGGGTTAGTTAAATTTTTTTAGGGTGGATGACCTCACTTGGTGTGCTTAGTTTTGTGAATTCTGACAAAAAATATTATTATATTATTTTTTCACACAAAAATGGCAAATAAGGAATAGGCGATGTTCTTTAATCTTTAAATGGATCTTTTCTAACAGTGCAAAATATTCTTGATTTTTAACATGTTGCAGTATTGCTTAATATTTATTTCATTTGATTTCGATAATATATTAAACAGACATATCAATTGTAAAATTAAAATAATTCTCAAAATGCATTGTTTTATTCTTGCCCCTTTTCGAACAACATGAATATTTGTGATAATTTTAGCTAGACTGCATTTATAACTAACTGAAAACGATTATGCTTTCAGATGAATAATTATTTAAGTAGGAAAATATATATTTTAAGGAAAAACAGGTATGCTTTTCCTTGATATTTAGTATTTTTTTAAGATTTGTGTTGGGTTGGTATGTGTTCAATAAAAAATTATTTACTAGGTATTTCTATCATTTTTATTTTTCAACCCAAACACTCCTCGTTAAGATCCCCCCAACTCATTTTTTGAACTGGTGAAGCTAGCGAGATGAAATTTGGTGTAATTCAAATATTGATTATATTACGAGGGTTGTCTCAAAAATAAGGTTCCCACATTTTTTTCAGCCACAATTTTACAAATTTACCATTCGAAATGTCGATTGTCAAGTTATTTTTCCTTCAAATGACTTTCAAGGTCAAGATCGAATCCAAGGACAGTTTCTAATAGCTGAGGAAAAATCTTACAACTTTTATTTGAAGCATATAGCCCTAAAATGCATTCCCGAAGAGTTATCGATATCCAGCATTAGTGGTAGTTTGACCTTGAGGTATCACTCAAGGTCAAATATGAGGATCGTTCAAGGTCGTGTTTGAAAGTAAAATTTTCTGCTAGTTTTATTGCTGAAATCAAAAGGAGCAGTTTATGTTTGAAAGTTTAAAGTCGACCTTCAAATAACATTGAAGGTCAAAATCAATAACTAAGAACGTTGACTAACCACGAGCAATAAAACATATCTTTTACGGCACTTAAAACAGATTTTATTTCTTACGATTTATTTACAAACAATTGTCATAAAAACAGACGTAAAAAACGAGATCCAAATATAGCAAGTGATACCAAGGTACAAATGGACGAAATACACAAAGCAATGGTGAATCAATCTTTGCAGTATCAAAGGGAACTGGAAAAAATATGTGTTAAACTTAATTAAAATCTATATAAATATCATTAACTATAATAAATTTTCAATTATTTCTTTTTCCGATCTTGACTACATTTAGGGCAGTACCATTTCCCTTTAGGTTTAGTGGTCAATCCGACGCAGGCGAAGTGGAACCACTCAATAGGACACTGCAAAAAAATAAATCAAGTTCGAAAATGCAAACGTATTGTGACAAATTGAAATACAAACTTTCGCTTGGAACACCCTGTCGAATGTGGATACTTACGTCAGGATTGTCGCATCCGATCATCTCTCCGTACGACACTTGATGACAAAGACAGTACGTCGGTTCGTTTGGATCAACAGGCATGTCTAAAACATCGCTGGGATGAGCGATACCTGCCAGACTGGGTAAGACTGAAGCCACCGCCTCCGCAACTGAAAATCCAATCAGAAATTGAATTGATCATCTTCAAGAAATAAGCAGCATCCAAAATATTCAATAGCTTGTATGTGCAACCACCAAATTTGGAATTTTGCAAAGTTACTTACAGGTTTATTTGGTACTGGGTGCGCCATTACTTTTTTTCCTATAAGTTTATGTGTTACCATGTGAGTCAAAAGTCATAAATGAACTGTCAAAGGTATGCCATTTATAGTCATTGATTCGTTTACAACACAACAACGCATTTTGGTTTCATGAAGACGGAGCAACGGCTCACACATCTCGCCAAACAATCGCCTTATTGCACACGAAATTTCAAGACCGCATAATTTCACGAAATTCAGATATCACTTGGCCAACGAGATCGTGCGATTTAACACCTCTTGACCATTTTCTTTGGGGATTTTTGAAAGGAAAAGTGTATGCGAATGGTCCCCGAACAATTCAAGACCTAGAGCGCAATATTCGGACTGAAATTGCGGCCACAGACCCGTTTATTCATACATAAATGGCAACCTTCATTTATCAATGAAAAAAATCGATTTCACCTCGTAAAAAGCGAGTTGATTTTTCAAATAGAAAAAAAGTAATAGATGACGCAACCTGTTCAAGAATTGTTTTTTTATTCTCATTGATCTGCAAACGGTGTATTTATACGGTTGTTTTATTATCACACACAACTGCCAAACCCATTGATGTTCTTCACCTGTCAAAATTATGGTACTATATATGTACACATAATCTCATTCTCATTCATCATTGACAATTTTCTGATACTTTTTCAAGTCAAATGACAATAAAGATATTTATTTTTTTTATTTTTATTTATTTATAAAACTCGGGAAGATAGGTTAACTTCGAAATCGAATTTTGTACGCCATTGGGCATGACGTCACTCTGTGACAAAATGTTCCGCTTGTCCGTGAAAAATCCATTGTTTTAGAGCGTTCTCTTTTAAAAATTTGGAACTCAATTATACTATTATACATACAATCAATTTTCTTTAGAAAGTTACCACTTTTGAAAAATGATTTTGATTGATCTTTAAGGTTCTGAATAGTTCAGGAACTAATAATTGAAAACGCGCTTTTCAAACTAAAATCTCTTTAGAGCTCCAAACAAAGAGACTTGTTTTTTATCGAACAAATTGAATTTAAATAATACCTTGGTGCGTCAGTAGCATATATTAATTTGTTATACAGAAAAAGAAAAGAAAACAAGATACCGTATAAATGACATCCTTGTAGATTTTTATGAAATGTCATGTGTCTACTTGGTTTTCTAATCCTTTTACTTCCTATGCTAAAACTGCCTAGGAAGTATAGTAATCGCGAAAAATTGAGATTATATTTGATGGATGTTATAAAGGTAAGGTAAAGTTGAGTCATTTGGTCTAGAATATCAAAAAATTACTCTTTTACTCTTTTTTTATTATGCAACTTTTATATAGCTGATTTTTGGTACATCAACTCGTTTTGACTAGTTCTACAAGCAATTAAAATAAATTACGCAACTTTGAAAACACCCTGTATTTTAGCAATTTTGTAAATGATGATTTAACTGTTTTTATACATACATTATATTTTTCTGAATTTTATGATCCTTATATGTACCAACCACTTCGCCTAACCTTTAATATGCGTGACTCCGTCTATGATGGTTGTTTGAATATTTCGTCAAGTAATTTGACTCGGTACTTATGGCGCAACAGACGCAGACTGACAAACCGGCATAAATAAGACTTGTGGGATGGAGATAGCTTTAAGAAACAGAAAACTTGTGTGTGTTTAATGCTTCCATCGTTTAGATAGATTTTTAAAACTGATTCACGGTGGTTTTGCCTAGAACAAGTGGATTAAACAATTTTGTTATCCAAAGAAACAATAAACTGTAAAAAACAAGGATAACTTCCGTCAAAATACAAGCTATAGAATTTTTTGAAACCAGGTAATGTTGACCCCCCATTTCAAAGCATTATTGTGTAATTTTGTTGCACAATTAGCAATTGTACACGAGGTGCAATGAACTGTGAATGATGCATTTGAAACTAGTCAGTAGTTAATGCATATTCGATGAAACGAGCAATGTCAGTAGGTTTGAAGCACAAAGTTCCCTGAAAGCTATATGAAAATGCATGGGTACTAGAATCCAAGTCCTACTATTTATAGAAAGGAAGTTTTGAATATAATACTAATTCCACCTCCAATAAAAAAGTATGAATGCTGGTAATGTGCTTATGTTTTGCACATTAGCAAATGAATTGTATAAAAGTTATATTTGTTTACAACAAAAAGCTTCGACAGTTAAAAAAACGATAAAATTTTTTTTTGAATCTTATCAATGGGTTGAAACTTGAGGCATTACTTGGATGCTGTATAAATTATGTGTACCAGATACCATGATAGTATTGGGTGGACCATCCAAAATTTAGAACTTCAATCTGCTATAAAAAAGAAACTAATGAACCTTTTTCTCAAATTTTTGGTTTTATTGGAAAGGTTGAACTTTGAATATAACGTAATATTAGTAATAAAACCTAAATAGTTCCTAATGATCGTGACAGTCTGATTCAGTACAGAAGATAAAGACCTGAACTGTGCTAAAGTATGGTACCTGGATACACATAAAGCAGTGAGAATGAGAAGCATGAGATGATACGAACCCTCACCTGAGGCAGCTTTAGCCCCATTACCAGTACTACCTCCTGATGCGGCGCCCGATCCCGCGCCTTTTTGTTTCTTCTTCTTGCTCCCCCTCACCGTTCCAGCAGAATCGTCGCCGCTCGAATTGCCGGAACGCTTTTTCTTCTCGCCTTTGCCGTCTTTTATCTTCTTTCTACCTCCTATTTTAGAAAGCGAAAATGTTAATCAAAGCAAGCCTTTCTCTTTTGAGACTATCGCTGTTGCATTTCTCGATCGCCACGCGCCATCTTTGCAGGGACTAGAGCAAACCGGGGATTCACTGACTTCAATCTTTCAGTACAAACGCAGCCTATGTGGTGCAGTTCTGTTGGACGGGGATTTACCGTTTCTTATTCTTTGGGTACACGGTGGTGGTTTGGTAAACAAACTGGTGGTAGTGCTTTCGAGTTAATAAAGAAAATTATGTCATTGGATGCAGTTTATTGGCAAAAACTGCTTAGGAAGAAAGTAACCAAAGAAACAGTGCAAAATTGCTTCTGCAAAACAGCTCTTAAGCATGAAAATATGCAAAGTGAATACCAGTTAAAGGAGGCTGATATGCCTGACCCAGAAGATGACTTACCACTTAATGTACTTTCAGATATACTTAAAAATAAAAAATTATTGAAACTGACTGATAATAAAAACCTTTATAATTTTTTGAACCTAGATGAAGATTTGTATGTCGAAGATCCAGATTCAGGCCAAGAAATTGAATATCCAGTTGAAATACAAGAACCTTCCTAAGATTCTGATGTCGATGAGGTTCTAGTACCAACAGAAGCTAATCTCAATTGGGGTAAATCTATTACCCTGATAAAGCAGCTCCAAAGTTTTGTTCAAAATTGGGGAAATACAGAGTCATTGGAGCTTCTTTCCAAATCTAAATTTCAGTACGACATTTCAAAGAAAAAGAGGGGAGAAATGATGAATTTTTGCTTTGTAAAGTGACTTTTTATTTCACTGTTTTGTGTACATACATAGGGAAAGCTCTAAAACCACTTTCCATTTTTGTTGGTACACCTTGTATGTGCAAAGTCTGATTGTGGTCTCCGGTTTACTTTGCTGAGAATGCTCCCTAGTCAACAGTATCCTGCAAAATATACATTTATACTTACGTTTACCTACAGTTGCTTCTTCTTGATTTCTAGAATTGAGTGCCTTATCTTGTATCTCAGATTCAAACCTTGCCAAATCATTGTCTAACCTTCGTATGTGTTTGTCTACCAATTCATATGTCTGAATTGCAAGTTGCACCTTATCATCACCATATTCCTGATAAAACATGTAACTATCAATAATCTTAATTAATCGTGACATACTTTTAAATATATGAATTTAAAAAAACTTATCAGATCCATCTAGTCTCCTTGGTAACAAAAATTTGGTGCACAATGATATTTGTAACATAACCTAAAAATAGAGCGCCTTTCTGAAGGACAGGAAAATATATGAAAATTAGTGAGGTCAGAAAGCCGTCCTACAATTGTAGAAACGACTGCCTTTGCTACAAATTTGGTACATACTTTTGCTTTGTTGAATAAGCTTTGAATTTTGTCGAGCTGTTCCTTTTTCTCATCTGCAGATAGCAGTTTCGGATTTCTGAGATACTCGTCTGCTAGTGAATCGATATTTTTCATTAATCCTTGTGCTCTAGAGTCCAAATCTCTCATCAATTTGAAATTTCTCTGCAGTTCGATTGGCAAATGTTCTAGACCTAAAAGGATACTTTCTAATATCGGTACAATTGATAATTTTTTGATACTCACTGTCTAAATAATGTTCCAGGTATAGTGCTGAAGTCATTTTTCAATTAATATAGCGCTAAATTTGCAACCGAAAAATGCAAACTTATGATTGTTGATTATTTATTTGTATTTTCTTTCACTGTTATGGCTTTCCATATTTTTGACAATCGACATCGACACCTTGACAAATATGACGTAACGCACATTGTTGTCAAGTTGATGACACTATTTTCTTCAAAAACCCCAACGGTGAATTCGCACGAACTCTCAAAACTCATAATAGCTACGTTTGTGCCTAATGCCTGTTTTGATTATAATTTAAATAAAAAACCGACCACAGATAAAAAATATTGATGATCGATGTGAGCTTACGATATACCAAATCCTAAACAACGTCGATACTTTTTACCCATCACTATAATTAATGTTACATAGTCAACCCGTTACTCAAAGTCGTGTACGACGGGTTGCCTGTCAATCAGAACAAAGTTGAAAGTTAATCAGTTAGTTCTTTTTAGATGCTTCAGGTTCCGAAATAGATATTTGATTAACATTTAACTGAAATCGATTCCAATTATAAGAGTATAAAGATATTATACTTCAAATAAATGAAATATACAAGCAGTTGACCGCAAGGATCAGTACTAGGTCCGATCCTATTTTCAGTTTATATTAATGATGTTAAGCATACATGGATGGGTTCATAGTTTTTTTGCTGACGACACCACAATACTTTGGCTAGACTCAGATATAAATGAAAGTAGATAAAAAATTGACAGTGCTATACAGTGAATCAAAAAATAATAAAACTAAATTTGATGATTAAATGTTACTAATCACGTAGACCAATTGCTCACTCAACTAGCAAAAAATAGGATTTTCTTTATAGGAACAATTAGTTACAACGTAGGGAAAAGCACATCCTTAAGCAGTTAGATTACCTTATTATTGAAAGTAAAAAAAAGTACTTATTCTACAAAAATTTAAACAATAAATATATGGGATACTTTATTAAAAATAGTACAAATCACAACACAATCAAAGTCAATAAATAAACTATTCACATATTTACAAAAGATATATACTAGTTGTATTCTAACTGATGAATTTGATGAACTGTTAAATTTCAAACAATTATTTTTATTTTAAAATATAGTATTCATGCATGCATATCACCACAGCAAATTCCAAACTGCGAAATTGGCTTGTTAAAAAAAATAGTACGAGACATGGACCTTTGAAAAGCACTGTAAACAAACTTAAAGGGCAGCAATGCTTTGCAGTCCAGCCAAAAAATAGCAGAGCTAGATGAGGAAATTCTATCACATCCTCCAGACCTAGTACCACTTATTTTTATCGTTACAAGATTTTCTGTTGAATAAAAAATTCAAAAATGAAGACGAAATCGAACGACAAAACGAAATTCTATCACATCTCCCATACCCTCCAGACGTAGTACCACATATTTTTATCACTAGAAGATTTTCTGTTGGGTAAAAAATTCAAAAGATTTTGTAGAAATTGAATAAAGACTAATGGGAAAATTAAGAGATTAAATTTGTATATTTTTTTGGGATTCTTCAAGGTGTTGTATTGAGGTTCTATGTGAAGCATGTTAAAGCTTTAAATGTCTAGTTTTTGGATCTATCAGTCAAACAATTTTTGAAGTGCAGATTCCACATATCAGGCAAGATTGTGAGGAAAAAAATTGCAATTTTTTTTATATGATTGAATGAACTCTGTTTATTTTGCCTCAATTTGCTTTTTCCAAAACCTCGATACGACCATTTCTTGTTGAGATACTGAACTTAAAAAAAGAACCATTTTGGCTTTAATTATCGATATCTCAGGAAACAATAAATAATATAGAAAATCTAAGAGTGATTTCTAAGGAATGGATTCTCTAAGTGGATCAATGATAATTTATGAAATATTTCTTTCGTATCGGCTGGAAAAAGAGTAGGAAAAAGGGGTAATTCATGTTTTTTTTTTTGGGAAACTAAAAATTTCACTTAGATCTACCCAGACGTTTTGAACCTTCAAAATTGAAGGATCACGTTTATACCTGATAAAAACGTTAAAAGGAAGATTTATTTTGAACATTTTACACATTTTCTTCACAAAAAGCGTTCAAATTATTGAAATATAGTCTTGTTAATTTGTTTAGGCTTTTTGTAAGAAAAATGTGGAAAAAGACCAAAACAGGTGCTTTCAATTTTAAAGCTTTTGGCTTTGACTTTCCAAATTTTTGATTTTTGAACAAAAAAAAGAAACTGCAGGATTATTGTGAGTACATGGAGCTGCATAAGTCTGTTCAACATTTTGTCAATATTTGCCATCTAGCACTTGGTTTTTCCATAAAATCATCTTTTCCCTGCTTTTCCAGTGCATCTGAAGGACGGAAAACAGTTTTTCCGATGACGATCATTGATCCAGTTAGAAAATTAAATTTTCTGTACCAGGATTGGTTTTTGGGATATATCGATGATCATAGCCAAGGGGGTATCTTTTTATTAAAAATTCGATATCTCGACAAGAAATGGTAGTATCAAGCTTTTGAAAATTGAAGTTGAATAGGCAGGTTATCGTTAAACGGAAAAACCTTTTCCAAATCCATGGACCTAAATAAGGGTATAAAAGATGCACTTTTTAATCACACTTCCGTAAAAAACAATGTTTGACTCTTAGAACCTCAATACGACTAGTCTTTACTGAGATAGCACTTCGAAGAATCACTGAAAACTTACAATTTTTACTTGATCCTTTAACTTTTTCCATATCATGAGATGATAAATGCGAAGGACCTCATATTATTCATTAAACTTTCACCAAGGTATGAACACTTCTTATTTTCCTTCGAGTTGAAAATGGACAGAACTTTCCAGTACATCTAATATTCCAGCATTAAATCATTCTTCCTTATGACAAGGGCTACTTTATATATCAATGACCACAGCTGTGCCATCTCTACATATCACCAGGTTGTGTTTCAGTCTCTTGTGGAGATTCATGCTGGATACCTGTTTAAATGTTTGGCTGCAATAGCAACACGATACAGGCCGTTCCGTTTGGTGGACGGTTTGATGTTTGTACAGCGAAGAGTATTCTGTGAATCTTTTCTCACAACCCTGGAAAAGAGAAAATAATAAACAGAGGATATTCGTAACGTGATTTACAGTTTGCAGTAACTTTCACAGCAGCATAGTTATTTCTTGTGATCTATCAGACCATGTGATGGAAAAGTATTTTCTCAATACTCAGGTTTTTTGAATTGTTCAAAGATTCAAAAGGTTCTTAGTAAAGTAGAAGTTCTTTCAATAACAATTACAATCATGTGTATTTGCAAATAAAAATGGTATAAAAAAGCTGAAGAGCACATGTGCTGCAAATGGTAGCAAATAAAATCTTGCTCTATAGCATATTTTCAAATCTCTCTTGAAAAAGTCAGCGGTTGTATACTAAGTGACATATAAATCCGAACACCCAGTTTAAATGGTTTTATTTTAATAAAAGTTGGTGAATGTATTTATCTTACTGTAAATAACAAGTGAAAAATTTTTCAGCCTTATCAGTTGGACATTCCGGTTTTTATACTGCTTTTTTTTAATTCACTAACGTTCTAAAAATGAATATTTGGCGGATTTTGGTTCTTGACATCCTTTACGATCGGTTACGATGCCTAGAGTACGGAGACCTGTACGATTTCGTCAACTTAGTGAGTTTGATAGGGGCCGTATAGTGGGACTTCGGGAAGCTGGACTTTCTTTTCGGGCAATTGCTGTTAGAGTGCAAAGAAGTGTAGACACTGTGGTTAGGTGTTGTCAGGCATGGCTTCGAAAAGGCCGTACGCAAAGAGCAAGGGGCACTGGACGCCGCCGTAGAACAACAGACCGTGAAGATCGCCGCCTAAGATTATTGGCCTTAAGGGACCGTTTCTCCACTACCAGGTCCATTGCAAATGAATGGTTTGCAGAACACGGAAGACCTATTGGCATGCGAAGTGTTTACCGACGAATGAGAAGTTTTGGCTTGTTTTCATACCGGCCACACTGGGTCCTCCCTTTAACTCGAGAACACCGACGTAATCGCCTTGAGTGGTGCAGACAACGGTCACTCTGGGATCAGGAATGGAACAGTATTGTCTTGACGAGTCTCGATTTTATTTAGGCATGCACGATGGTCGTGCCAGGGTTAGAAGGCGACGTGGTGAAAGGAGGAATCCACAGTTTTTTGTTGAAAGACATGTTCATCACACTGTTGGAGTTATGGTTTGGGGTGCTATAGCTTATGGTTCCAGGTCACCTTCATTAAGTACTTATACAAAATTTTATTAAAATAAAACCATTTAAACTGGGTGTTCGGATTTATATGTCACTTAGTATATATAGCTCTAGATTTATCAATATTTTGTATAAAGCTTTTCAAATGCATTTAGTTTTGCAATCTTTTCCACAACTGCTAAAAATGGCTAAACAGTTTTAGATAATTGTAGACATATCCTTTAACAAATGACGCGAATCTATTCTGATGATAAATATAGTTAAACACTAAAATGGTTACTTGTAGGCTCTTTAATTGTGCGCTTATTTTTAAATAGATATATGGGGCACTCTTAAACACTCCAAAAACTATTAAAATGAGACCATGCTGATGAGTTGCCACAAAGCAAGAAACAGCTATCTATGGTTGGTCCTCTGTGGTCGGAAGGACGAAAGAAGTATGTTTAGTAAAGGTTCTTAGTACGGGTGAGTTTTCGAGTTATACGCGTTTTGATGTCTGGAATACCCTAAAAATGGACATTTTCAATGCTTGAAAACCACAATAAAAATTGCCATTTTTGAAGTTATCAAGCGCCTAAATTAGAGTTCAAACATTCTCCTACAAGAACCTGAAGAATATTCTAGTCTTAGTAAGTAATTTTTAATCCTGCTCGGTAGGTTAACAAGTTGCGAACACTTTCCTTTTAGTCTTCACAAGACGCCTTTCTATACTTAAAAACTCGAAACAGTCGTTACAATATTCGATGAATTTCAGTAGACGTCAAACTTCTTTTTTGTAATTATTTTATTACCCCTCTTTGCCCAGCAAAGTAAATTTCTATCAACATCCTTGTCACAGAAGAAAGAGCACTGTCAAACGTAAACTTGTTATTTTGTTAACATAGCAAAGTTTCACTGGCACAATAATATAAGCACATGCAATAGAACCAGTCACAGAACATAGGGATCAACCCTCGTAACTCGTATTAAGATATAATAAAAAGCGTCATGTAATCTGTGTCTAAGGAACAAGGAGTATACGGTTGATTACTTGCCTCAATGCTGCATATGAACGGCTTTTCTCCCGTATGAATCCTCACGTGGTTTTTGTAGTTTGTCAACGAGGCAAACGCTTTACCGCAATTCTCGTGTTTGCAAACGAAAGGTCGCTCGCCCGTATGCGATCTTATGTGGATTTTTCTGATGTTGGACGTGGTAAACGATCTACCACAGTCTTCCACCGGACACACAAACGGCTTTTCACCTGAAAGGATATCAAAATATTTATACTAATACGAGTGGTTGGCATCTTCAGAAGAGAGAAAAACCGACCAAATAACATTGCATGATAACTTCGAAAGCCTTTCGCATTTCATATTTATGTGTAGTTCAGAAAACCACCAAATCAAGTCAAAAAACATTTCTTACAACTAAAAGCCTACCGGTCTGCTCCACCTTCGCTATTCCGCCAAAATATGAAAATAACCGAATGCAGTTTTTTACTGACGACATGCTTGAATGGAAAATTATCAGGTTTATTTTGATGAACGTGTGTGATTCCGTAGAATATCTCCCGAGTTTCCCACATGTATGCATCTCTAAGTTTCAATAAAACATTAAGATGAAAAAAAAAATGGTCGTATTTTATTGCATTTCACAAATATTCAAGATACAAACCAGTCAGCTTCATATCAAATTTAATTTTCATTCCGCCGCTAATTATGTACTTACCAGTTTAATCTCAGCGACAATTTTTTCTACACAAGAAAATAGCAGTAGTTGTCTATCTTAGGTAGAATAAAGAAAAATGGTATAACCTAGTGAAAAGTACAGTTTTCGAGCCGCAATTTATACCTTCTATTGCAATTGTTCAATAGGAGTGTCACGTTACCTGTATGGATCCTAACATGCTTTGCCAGATCTCCAGACGTCTTGAAGCTTTTCATGCACATGTAGCAACCATAAGGCTTCTCTCCGGTGTGAGTGCGCGTGTGGGCTTTCAACGAATAATTTGTCGCAAATCTTTTCTTGCAGCCTTTTTCTTTGCACTTGTACGGCTTGTGGTTTATGTGATGAGTCCTCATATGAACCTTAAAAAAAACGGAGTTAAGTAAGCCGAGCCGAAAAAAACATTTGTACGACCTGGTACTTACATTCAAGTAATTCAGTGCTGTATACGCCCTGTCGCATCCTTCGTATACGCACAAAAACGGCTTCTCTTTTTCCGGCGGCACCTGAACGTCTTCGGATTCGTCCTCGGACTTGTTCTCATCATCACAGAAGAATTGAAATAGCTGGGTGCAGTTATTATCGTCGATTATTTGAAATAGGTTGCACTGACCATCTAGAAATTTAGTAACACCATGTATTAGTATTATGCAGGGTGTCCTTAAACTTGAGACTATCTTTTTTAGAAACTATAAGTTTAAATAACAAAGATAATATTTTTTTGTACTAAAATATTTTCGGAAGAAACACTTAACTGAAGCGGCAACACAAATGGTTTTAGAGGACTGGAGGAGATGTATAAACAATCGGAAACATACAGTAACAGTGTTTTTGGACTTCAAAAGGGCGTACGAGACTACTGACAGGGATAAATTACTTACAGAATTGCATCACTACGGATTTATAGAATCTGTTTAAAAATTCTACAAAACTATTTAATTGACAGAAGTCAAAAAACCAAAATTGGATCTACATTATCAATATCAAAAAATATTTCTGTTGGTATACCACAAGGTAGTAAACTAGGTCCACTACTATTTATTTTATAACTTAATGACATTTGTAATATTTTAGATTATTGGAAATATCAAATATTTGCAGATGATACATTAATATACATATCAGATAAAAATACAGGGTGTCCGCAAAGTTGGGGTTTTCCTTTACACGACGTGTAGATCTTGAAAACATAAGCAATTTTTCTTAGTACCATATACACCAATGTCTTAAGGGAACCGAGATAAAGGGCTCTGCAACATCAAAAATATCTGAATACCGTCCTGTAGCCGCGACATCACCGACTGGTACAAGGTCACTGGCTCAACCCGACGACAGAACTGGGTCGGGGTCAGTGTGTCAGGTCAGTATGCAACCTTCAACCGACGGTTACGGTCACGCGTGCAGAGGTAATCGCGTAGACGAGAATCCCTCAACAAGCACTAGAGACGTGGCTAGAGAAGTGCAGGTATCAAAAACTAAAGTGTGGCAAACGCTGCGTGAAGAGGGGCTGTATCCGTTTCACGTTCAACCTGACGATTTTCCAGCAAGAGTGCGGTTTTGTGAGTGGTTGTTGCATTAACATGACAATAATCCGGACTTTTTGAAGTGCATATTGGTGACAGACGAATCTACGTTCACACGTAATGGGGTGAATAAATTTCGCAACACTTATGTTTGGTCAGTAGAAAATCCGCACGCTGTCCGTCGGGCACATTTTCAACAAACATTTTCGGTGAATGTTTGGACTGGCATGGTGAACGGATCATTGGACCATTTATTCTCCCAAATCGATTGGACGGGATGCAATACCTAGACTTTTTACGCAACATTTTGCCTTCCTTGTTAGATGATATGCCATTAAGTGGTTTCTGCGTCTGCTCGGTAGCGCATCAGCTAATTTCATTTTCTGTTGGAGCGGTATGATTTCGGGCAGAGACGTACTTAGCCCTTCTCGTCAACTGGAGAGTGAATGCTCTTTCCTTTATTTTTTTTACTTGGTCGCCCTCGTTTCACTACACATTACCTTTGTTATTTCAAGGGTAGTTACTTCTAAAAAGGAAAACCCCAACTTTGCGGACACCCTGTATAGACACTGCTTTAAAAATGCTAAATTCTGACTTGGCAAAAAAAAATGTAAATAAACCAAATTGAATACTTCTAAAACAAAATGTGTGCTAATAGGGAAATAGCTAAATGAAAATACTATCACAGTTAGGATAAATGGAGAAATAATTGAAAATGTTGAATTTAGGTATATATATTGATAGTAAACTAAAGTTTGAGGATCACTATGAATACATTATTTCAAAAATTGCCAAAAAACAAATTACTTTTATAGTAGTAGTAGTAATCATGCTAAATAAATCTTAAACAAACAAACTTCATATCTTGGTTATTTTAGGGTTTTAGTATATGTGTTACTTAAAAATCTTCATTATTGTTACAGGAGCTATAAGCTGTGTAAAATAAAGTTCCAACTTTAAGCATATCGTGTATAATGCCAAGAGAACAAAAGAAATTTGTGACAAATTCGTAACTTCCTATAAAAATGCCCTAGGAGCTCTCCTACAGAGATGTAGTCTGCCAAAGGGTACCATGAAAAATTAGTTAGATAACCGATCGAAATGAAGCCTGTACTTGTGCTAAAATGAGCATAGAGGAGGGGGATAGTATTGGTTGACTAGAAACAAAGCAAAAAATTCTCGAGGATGAAGCCATACACATTGAATTATCATTCCAGAAAGAAGGCTGTGGATAACTGGATACATCCTCAAGAATGCTTTGTAAAATGCCTGCCAACTACTTATTATACCAGTCAACTACCACCTTTAGGTGCCAATGTCACCAACTGTCAAACTATTGCTGCATGTTATGGGATTACCTTTACTGTCATTGGGAAATTCTGACACTGCGAAGTCTCAGAGATAATTATGAGGGATGTAGAAGGGTGACACTCCTTAGAAAGATGATGTAATTTTTAAAATCATTAAAAGGAAAATTGAGCATGTTTTTATTACTTGTTCAGCATAATGTTGGGCATTTTCTTGGGAAAATATTAATCAAATGCGTAGGTATGATAGAAAAATTACCATTATCTAGATTGCTATATAGTGGCTCATCTTCAGTATCTTGCTCTTCATTTTCATTTGTGTCTTGTTCCATCTTGGGTTCCATATAATTTACCTCCTGACTTGTTGATTCCTCATAACCCCCAGTTATTAGATGTGGCTCTATAGTTTCAAGGGGTTCATCTATATAAATATATACAGGGTGATTCACAAGTCATGACGAAAAAATGAAACATACACAGGACAACATTTCAAGCAAATTCTTATATGCCCAAACAAAATGACTGTGTTTGGTGACCGTACTGTACAGAGATGCTAAAAACTTTGGGCAAATTCTTGCTATTTGTTGATCTTCAATATTGAACGTAGCCATTTTGATGTGATTGAGCAACAAACATCCACATTTTCTCAATTATAATATTGGTGTGTGCAAGGACAAGTAGCAGATGGGTTAAGAATTTGACCGCACAGTGTGCAATTTTCTCAAGCAAAGAGTCTCCAGACAATAATGCCCTCTGATCTAGGCAAAATCTGAGGAAACCCAGAAAGTTTCATAGAAACATTATTTTTTTTCAATAAAAAAAAAATATGCAATATAATGTTTCATACCCTCGGATGCCATGAAAACTGTTCCATCTTGTACAGTAATAATCTTAACGGGAATTGTTTGCAGAGCCTGATTTTCTTCATATCCCTGCAGTTCACTGGAGGCCCCACTTGCTGTAAAATCTAAAGTGGCGGCTGGATTAACATTAGATTCTCCATTGATCAGGAAAGGATCTGGGTCAATGGTCAAGAGGACAAGCTGCTGATCAGTATTTCCTTCAGTTTGCGGAATCTCATCTTGGTTTATGATGGTGTAATACTGAAAAATTGCTTCGTTATCGGCAGCTAAAAACCATTAAATTTAAATTTTATAATAGGAAGGAAAATTAGGGAAATTACCCATAATTATCATGAAAAATTAAAGATGAGACAACAACCGATGATTGATCAGAACCATTTTCTGATCTTCTGATTCTTCTGTGAGGATACTATGCCGCACCAAGCACTACAAAGATTCAAACGCAGCGAAATGCAAGCAAAAAGGAATTATAAGCATCTTTATTGTGATAAATGGGATTGATTATTTTGAAGCGCTTAATTCAGGATACAAGGAGCCGCACATTTCCCGTCATGCTGTCATATTCTATTATAGTCCAGTAAAAATAAGAAGTTTCAGTGACGTGTCTGTTAGAAGTTAGATAATATTGTCATTTCCGTTTTCTAAATACTTCCTAAGTATGCTGATGGATGAGTATGCTTGAATCAGAAATTATGTATTACGAGCCGCTTCCCACTTCAGTTGGCCCACTTCAAGATTTGTACCAAAATATGCCATGACGAAACTATTTACTTCTAAAAACAATTTATTTTCTCAAAAACATTTTAGATACACTCTAGTCGTAAAAAATACATATTTGAAATCACTAAGACCTATAACTAATAGAACATCTGAACAAATAAACAATGTGCGAATAAATGCGCTAAGTTAACAAAGCAACAATTTTTGGCAAAAATTTGGTGCAAAACAATCTCATATTTCTTGAAGCTTTTGTCTCAGTTCGGTGATTGTACGAGCAGGATGTTGTCGTAGAACCTTTTTCATCTCGTGCCACAAAGTTTCAATAGGTGACAGATCTGGACTGAGGTATGGCACGCTGCACCATCTTGCTGAGACACAAAATCTTGGCCGGATGTCAAACATTCTTCTGTCACTGGTAAAAGCGATTCTTCTAAAATTGCCAAATATTTGTTTGTATCCACATTTCCATCAATAAAATGACGTTTTCCTACTCCTGATGACATACTGGCCCAGACCATAATGGACGTTGAAAATTTCACTTTTCTCTTCAGACAGTCAACATGGAATGCTTCATTCTTTTGTGAATAACTCTACTGCGACTGTCACCAACACAAACTTCGAATCGGGCCTCATCACTCCATTGTATTGCACACCATTGTTGTCCATTGTCTATGTTCTTTAGCCCATCTAAGCCGATTTTTCTTTTGCAGTGGAGTTAATAGTGGCTTTTTTTTTGGCATATAAACAAGTTGTGCAAGTTTAGGGTTTTTACTTCAGTTTTTTATAAGAAAACTTACCTTGCAAGTGCTAAAGCCCAGTTTGTGGGCCTCTCTATGAGTTGTGGACCTCGAAATTCTCCTTCCAACAGCGTCACTCCACAGAGCACTTAATTGTAAATAATTGGCACGCCTGTTTTTCACGATTATTCTTCTTAATGCTCTTCGGTCGGCATCTGTGATATTACTTTTTTTCACATATCGTGGCTTAATATTAATTGAACCAGTTTCACAGCCACCAATGCGTTAAAGACTTATTTTACATTGAAATGAAAATAAGTTGATATGCTGTAATTGCAACATGAGTTATTTTTATGCTGCAAATTTGATTAGGGAGTGATAAAGTTGGTGTTTTCTACCCTATATTATCAAAATATTCATTGTTAATATTTTAAACCTATAACACCTTGCTACATTTTTATTATTTGTGTTTGATAAGAAAAACACTAAGATTTCAATAGTTAGGCCAACTGAAGTGGGAAGGGGCTCGTATATTAAATAAATGTATTGAATTAATGTAAATTTCTTTTGTTGACTGGAGTATATCGACAATATTCGTTACGTATCAGATAAGCAAACTAGTACAAATATTTGTTTGACGTTTGACCCATCGCTACACTGTAGGCTTGCCAAACTGACATTTACATGACGGTTGACATATGTTCCTAGTTTTTAGTTTAAATCAGATGTTTTTGTATACAGAATTTTATTTTTAATATTTTAATATTGAACTGTACTTAAAATGGACCTAATGGTAAATATCTTTGTGCGCGCCTATGTAATTTTAATTTTCTAGTTTCCAGAAAATATTCGAAGCATTTTCGAGAGGGTTCTACGATAGTTGTAGAGGAACAATAGCAATTTTATATTTAGACAAAGAAATTAACGAACAGAAGCTCACTTGGCAGTCTCCCAGCAGAGTCTCGGTTAGGCAAAAGGAAACAAGTCTAAATGAAGTCAAAAAACCTAAAGAAAAGTTGGTAAAATTATCTGCAAACATTGTTTTTTAACTAGCCTCATTTCAGGGAGTCAAAGGTCTTGAAAAGAGTCTGTCAATGTGGAATGTTGAATGGAGGAATATTTCTATTCAGCATATTGTTGTTTGAATATGGATTGCTTCCAGCAATAAATAATCTGTTTAGTATCATTTTTGGCAATGACTCTTTTATGGGAAATCTAGTGTGGTCATGGATCCAGCCTATGCTGTCACTAATCTTTAAGACTGTTTGGGTCATTCCATTATTTTTACTAAGCAAAGTAGTTAATGCTTTGTGGTTTCAGGTAAGTCCTTTGTCTAACTGTATCTGATTACTGATTTTATTTATTAACAAAGCCCTTTGATAAGTGAATACTGGAAGCAGTGACATTATGTGAGCAATTCATGCTTTCCTTTTCAGTATGCCAAATGGTGCTAGTTTCAAACTGTCATTTCTTGATTTGCTGTACTTTGATCGGTAATTCTCTACCGTAACTATACCAGCTGTTTTAATGAAGAAAAAATGATTTCAGACCCTAATTTTTGGGTGTAGATCAAAGAAATGGGGCCGAAAATGACTGCAAACACAAAAGTTCTGGAATATTTTACTGTATAAGAGGTTTTTATTGAATGTTTGTTCTCAAAGACTGCAATGTTGCCAGATTTCATTACTTCATAGGTTTTTGTGTTGATGAACATTCTTAATAATTAAGTTTGTATATATGCCTTTGAGCTTGAAACAACCCTGCATAACGTGTAATGCACCAGTGGCGCGCGTGAGCATATTCATATATTGTTATTTTTCCTCCTTTTTTCGTTAAAATGACATCTTGAAATCGCATTTCTAATTGGAAAAAAGCTCCAAAGATTTTTATTTGACGTTTCGCCAACACGAGTGGTTGGCATCTTCAGAAGGTGTTCACAGTTCGGAGTCCTGTGAGTACAGTAGCTATTTTGTGACCCAAAAACCAACCAAATAACACAGAATGATGGCCGCGAAAGCCTTTCGCATTTCACGCTCCAAAGACTCTGTATCTCCCTGATTTTCGACAAAACTTTTGAGCTGCTTGGTCAGGGTAATAGCTTTGCCATAATTTGGAATAGCTTCTGTTGGTACTGGAACCTCATCCACACCAGAATCTTCGGAAAGTTCTTGTATTTCATCTGTTTACACTTTCGAAATTTGGCCATGAACTCAATACATGAAGAAATTCGTGGATTTATTGTCTTATTTGAATATATCCCAGTCTTGACCAAGCCGACACCATGCTGATGTTGCCAAAAAGCACGAAACAGCTGTTCATGATTGTCTGTCGGTGGTCGGACTGACAAACTTGTGACTATTGATTATTTCAGGATATTGCGGATTCTGCCTACAAAAGAAGCAGAGGACGGCCAGTGTACCCGCAAAGTCTCAGCAAACTCTTGGCCGACTCTGTTTTCAGCATAGTGATTCAACTATTGTTCCTCCTTCAAGCCACCTTGGCCAGTTATATTCCGATCCATTTGGTTGGGATGGTGCTCTCTATGGTCCAGATGTGTATGCTCTACTCCCTGTATACCTTCGAGTACAAATGGTTCAACATGGGATGGGAACTGCATAGGAGGCTTACATTCATCGAAACAAACTGGCCATACTTTTTAGGGTTCGGCTTGCCTTTGGCGGTGCTCACACAAATGCCTAGCTCATGGATTATGAGGTGAGGGAAAGCTTGAGATATGCACCCGATTCACCTGGGAAGCAAGATTCCAGATTTGAACGGATTTTTGAAACCTCAAGTAATTTGAGGCTCTAAATTAAAAAAATCGGGGCGCGAGGCCGATATAGGCCCAGTTTCAATGTCAGGTTTGTGCTAAAATGATGGATAAATTTAACCAGTGAACTATGGGTTAAATCAGGCCTCTCCAACTCAGGTGCTACCAGAAATTCTTTGCTCGGACATACTAATTGTCTCAAAGTTGCTTACAGTAGATGGGCACAATATTTCTGCACACTCCACTAAGCCATTCTTTGACAAGTGCACCGTCAGTAAACCGTCTCCCACTTTTTTAGATTTTCAAAGCAACAATATAACTTTCATTACGACACCATTAATAATAATCAACTACGACCAAATTAATAATTACCTCTTCAGAACTTAGAAGGGCTGACCTCAATACCGTGTGACAAATTAAACGTTTTGCTTTTCCATCAGTATTTACAAAAAATAGGCGTCTTCCATGCAGGATTGAATGACATCGTTTAAAAAAAGATGCACGTTAAGACGCTAAAAAACCTGTCCACTTTGTCTTGTCCTATTAAGAAATGGCTCGCGCTCGAGAGACAGCCGGCTAATATGTTTCTCTCTGTCGCGACGGCTGTGCGGTCGAGGTGGAGGGGGAACGGCTCCGGTGCCGCTGGGTTCAGCACCGGAAAGTGCTCGAGTTGGAGAGGCCTGGCTTAAATAGAAAGTTATAGTTAAGCCATAGCCTCTAACCATTTTCAATTGACAATGACAGAAAGTTGTCCCGGATGACACGGGACACAAACATCGAGCGATACGAAGATTAATAGTTCAGACGTGAAGCAGCGTTGCCATATCAATAATTATGGGTTAGGTAACGGCAAATCACAACTTGAAAAACTGGGCCTTTTTAATAATATCGATGACACTCTCTCCAATGATCTTTTTTCTTTTTTTACAGTGGTTGTATATTTTCCATGTTGTTCCCGTTGTTCATAGTCAGTGGGAATGACGCAAAACCAGTGACAGATTCTTGGTGAGTCTTCTTAAGAAACCCGGTTAATTGTTTTTATCTTCATTTTATATTTAAACGTATATGTTTTTTTCAGTGATTATACAGTGCACTTCTTTTCGCCAGTGATAAGCATATCAAATTTACTCTTTAGCAAAACGATTGGTAACCCGCACAGGACTTTGAGTGAAAAGAGGTAAAACAGGACATATAAAAATTCTAATATAATTATGTACATATTGATATGTATAAATAATTAATAATATTTGGTGATAGCCATACCAATTTTTTATAATTCATAAACTGATAAATTAAAGGAACATTATGTGATGTTTTTGTGTATACAATTTGCCATTATTTTGTTTTGTTTGTAAATACATTTTATGAAAATTGCTTCCTGGTTTCAATATTCCCTTTTCTTAATGTATCATCTGAAACTTATCCTGTCGAGCAACAATTGTACTTGAAAAGGTCGCCATTGGGATCAAAACGTCCTACAATAAAGGAGAGTCTTAAAGTATGTGGTTTGATCACTACTAGTTTATTGAGCAATATACAGGGTTGTTCAAAGAGCATTTAATAGCAAAATACACGTGTTTATTTTGCCGATATGAATCACAAACCATGCAGAAAGATAAATGTTATTTTTATGCGAAAAACAAAGGTTACGTTTTTTTCTTCTAAACAAATTCAGACATTTTATATTTGTCAGTAATTAAACAAATGCGCTACGATATCCGAAAAACACATTTTGAAGCAAAGCGAATCCCAAAAAACACGTTTTCTCTTTCTTTGTTGTCAATTAAGAAGTCTTCCCACAAAAATTGGTGTACCCATTTTATGCGTCCATGTTTGAACAACTTGCAGCAATAAAATCAGACTTTACAATTATTTCGCAAACCAGGGGTATTTTCGTCCAATATGATTAGACTATATGCTATTATTAATCGTACGTATTTTTTTTCTACGCGATTCGCAGATTTTCGGTGATTATTCGAAACTTGGCAACGCAGCAATTCAGTTGTATCGACATCGATGTTTACCTCATCTCTACACCGCCCTTGACCATTTGACACCTGATGACATAACCTTAATCGCTCATGTTAAATAACCTATCTTTCTGGCCTCGAATCTTTTGAAAATTTCCAAATAAATAACAGAACCAGCCGAAAACATGAGCGTCCCATTGCCCCCAGGTACTGGCTTAGAAAATATAGACGGTGAACAGATCAAGACGGTAAGAAAATATAAATTTGTCAGGCAAAGAATTGCAGGTGTTGTTGGTTTCAGTTCAAAGACTTCTTAATATCGTATAATAAATTGAGCGAGCTGTGTTTCACGGACTGTGTATCAGATTTCACGTCTAGGAATATCAAGGGACCAGAGGTGAGTATTTTTTATATGAACTAAACAACATAATTTACTATTATTGTGTAAGGTGTTTTGTTGGAATTTTGAAAAAAGCCCTCTAGCAGCCACATGTGCAACTAACAAAACTTCAAATATTGTAATATTTGTAGCCCAAGAATAGCCCTTTTCAACTAGCCCAAGGTTGTTAAAATCGGCTCAACTGTTTCAAAGATACAGGGTGTTTTTTACAGAAACTTTTGAATACCCCCACCACTGTGCTATTGTGTCAAGTAAATATATGTTAAGTATTTTAAATAGCTGTTTGTAAAGATAGTATAAATATGAAATTACATGCACAACAGCTATCATGCAAATCAATTTTTTTTTGAAAAAATACATTTTGATGCATGGAAGTTAAATAAGTATGTGGGTTCTTGCAAAACTGATTGGGTATTGAGGAAACTTTAAAGAATCAATCTATATATTTTTAGCAATTTTCGATTCATGGTTTAGATGTAAGATGGGAAACTTGACTTGAGGTGGTCACTTCCCCAGGATTCCTCTGTGTACCTCAAAAACATTGAAACACATAGCATGGTGATAAATCAATATTTAAGGCTAATTTTTAATAATAAGTAATAAAAAAATACAATTAAAATGATTATTTTGCTTGTTATATATACCTCTAAACCTACAAGGGTTGTTTCAAAAATTATGTTCCCACATCTTTTTCAGACACAAACACTACATTAACCACAAAAAAGTACTTGTTTATGACATAATTTTCGTCTTCTCGAAAATCCGAGTTATAAGATTTTGCACTGACTGATTCAATTATAAAAAAGAAAAACAATTCCCAGTGCATCTTTGTAGCTATTTTGCTCTGTGAATCTGAAATTCCTACAAATATTCTGGGCCTCCCTGATGTTTTCTCTAAAACATTCTTATTTTAGGAAAAGTGTGCCCTGAATTGCCTAGAGAAATTCCTCAAGGTGAACCAGAGGATATCGCAGCGCTTCCAGGAGTTCCAGCTTTTAGCAAATGAAAGTGCTATAGCAGCAGCACAGAAAATGGAGAAAAGCAAAGGATGAAACTTGGTTTCGTTCTTAGGCCAAATTTTAAAGTATGTGCATTTGTTAGTCATGATTTTTTGTTATTTAAGATGTTTAGAGTTCAATAAAGTATTTTGTTTTTAAAGCATCTTGCATTGAATGTTTTTTCTTGGTGAAGCCTAGATACCAGGGCACCACAGTTGCTTTGAGGAGCTTAAGTTTGAACTGGGAATAGGCGACTCACATAGATTGTTGAACAATCTCGATACCCTGGGGAGAAAGGAGCGGTCGTATTTGCCAGTTCTGGATGTACGAAGTTTTGACACAGTTAGGATTTGAGGTCAAGTCAGGGGGTCTCGAGGTTCGGTCGTATCTAGGCCTTATATACAGAATGAGGAGGTTATATGGATTCTTAGCCATTTTTTTATGTGAAAAAGTGAAATGAATATGTCACGATGTCAACAAAAAAAAAACAAGTATTTTCACAAAAAAAAAACAGTGTTTATTAACAAAAATCATACAATATGGGAGTGAGACATTTCAAATATTGAAAACGGATATATGACTATTAAACAGTCCAAGATCAACTCGCGATTTGTGAAAATTAACATACAGAGTGTACAAAAAGTTGCAAACCCCCATATTTTAGAAAATTCCCGTCAAACAAAAAAAGTTTTACACAAAAGTTGCAGGTAGTACTCCATGTTTTCCGGGTCAAAAAATTATTTGGAATGAGTGCATCCGTAACAGCGAGTATGTTTAGTAAACAACAACTTAAGAAAAAGGAAAAAATATATTGGTGATGACCCCAGTCTGGAAAGGTCAAAGAGAAACATCTCCTTAAAGCAACGCCTAGAGCCAGACCAGCTGAGACCACTTGGAAATTACCTCGACGGTCATTTATATTTCAATTTGAGAACGTGGAACCAATCTTAATGGCCAATAGGAGAGAAGGACGAAAACTTTTGTGTGACCTTGACCTCAAAACGATCTTGAAGTCTTGGTCAAGGTCATTTCTGAACGCGAAATTTGCCACTCTCTCAAAAAAGAGGATACCTGTTTAAATTTTTCAAGTCGACCTCTAAATGACTTCAAAGGATATTCTCTTCTCTTGAAACGCTGCAACTTTTATCTTGATCATTTTTTTGTTTGAGCCGCATTTTCTGGGGGGTGTAGCCTTGTACACCTTGTATAACCACATATAATCATATAATGTGTCAATAGTGCATTGATATAACAAAAAACCAAAAAGAAAGCGTAAGTATATAAACGTCTAAATACATTCGATATTCCCAGATGAGATTCGAAAAATATCCTTTTCTTGCGGCGACCAGTGTTGTCATTTATATTAACTTACCCTGCCTATGATGCTCGAGAGGTAGTCAGCACGACTCAATGTTTATGAAATCTTATTTTCCATTTTCAGCAATGCGTTGATTCACATACTTCAAAGCATCTTCAAAAATCCTCTTCTCAGTCATTCGCATTCTAATCGCTAATTTTCTATTGTCGCTAAGATCTTTCCGCTTTAGAATCTGTACGTCTTCTTGTAAGGTAGTTTTGTAAAGTCCTTGTAAAAGTTTCAGTCTGGTTTGAAGAAATTTCCACACTTTCTTGTCTAATTCTGCGTCGATGGTGACCTTGCTATTTTCCAATTGATCTAACGGAGTCGTTAGCAGCCAGTGGTCTAGTTGTTCTGAAAAAATTGATAAATATAAAATCAGTATCAGCTTTTACGAAGCCTAGGAAATGAATCAAAGAATGTATTTCGGATTCCCAATGTCTTTACAATTTTCAAGTCTCACCATCTTTTAAACAGGAATTGGAAAGATGAGGAAACTTCACGTCCTAATTCTTGACTATGACCTTCAAGAACATTTCAAGTTCAAACCAAGACATTGAAAACAATTTGCTCTAGTACAAATGATCGACAAATGGATATTTTCAGATGTAACTCTCCAACTTTTGCCCCAGAATTGGAAGGAGGAGGAAACTTCACGTCCTAATATGATCTTGACTATGACCATCACGTTGAACTTCAAGACCATTTCAAGGTCGTTGAAAACACTTTGCTCTAGCACAAATGATCGATAGCACAGTTGTGAGCTTTGTTGGCGCACCGAAAGGTGACCTTGACCATGATCTTGGCTGAAATCTTCAAGGTCAAATAACTATTTTCAAATGGAAATAAACATCTTTTAAACAGGAAACCTTTACGTCCTCGTATGACCTTGACAGACCATCGCCATAACCTTCAAGACCATTTCAAGGTCAAATCAAGTTATTGAAAACAATTTGCTCTAGCATAAATGAGCGACAGCACAGTTGCGATCTTTGTTGGGGCACCCAAAGGTGACTTTTAGATGGCATTGAGGTTAAATGAATATTTTCAAATGGTACTCTCCATCTTTTGCCTCAGAATTGGAAGGAGAAGGAAACTTTACTTCCTAATATGATCGTGGCTATGACCATCACCATGACCTTCAAGGTCAAATCAAAGCATTGAAGACAATTTGCTCTAGCACAAATGATCGACATCACAGTTGTGAAATTTGTTGGGGCGCCCAAAGGTGACCTTGTCCATGACTTACAAGGTGAAATGAATATTTTTATCACACAGGCATTGGAAGTAGAAAATGTTACGACCTAATATGACCTTGACTATCATCATGACCTTGAAAGCTATTTCAAGATTAAATCAAGACACTGAAAACAAATTAATCTAGTAGAAATAGCGTCATCCAAAGCTGTCGACCTTAACCATGACCTTGACAATCACCTTCAAGGTCATGCCAAAATAAATAAAAAAATGTTTGCTCTCTTCAATTTTGGCTTAAAAATTAAGAGTTGAAATTACAAATATCATTTAATATTGACATGACTTTCAGGTCAAGGACACATCCAGTCGTAACAACAAGATCACCTTCCGGTGACCCCCACAAACGCTACAACTGTGCTGACGAACTTTGTTACTAGGAGCAAATTGTTTTCGATGTCTTGATTTTACCTTGAAAGTCATGGTTGAGGTCAGGGCTAAGGTGATATTTGGATTGTTTCCAATTCTTTGTCAATTTTACTAGAGCAAATTGTTTTCAATGGCTTGATTTGAGCTTAAAATGAGCTTGAAGGTCATTACTATGGTCAAGGTCATATTCGGACGTAAAATTACCTCTTTTTCCAATTCCAATATAAACCAGGATGGTTCTGTTTATAAGTACACACTTGACCTTGAAATGACATTGAAGGTCGTTGTCAAGCTCATCATCATTTTTAACATATAACTTTAGAAACTTTTTTCTAGGTTGCGTAATTTTATGTGGGCAGATTATAATATCTATTTTATTTTCAAGTTTCGATTCCAATTCACCTTCGTTCATGTTGAATATTCTTAAGAATGCCAGCAATTGTCCATCAATAGGTTCTGCACCTTTCTTTATGAAGAATCTATCTGTGGGTTCCAAAGTCAACCTACTCAGAACATCGTTTCTTTTTTCTTGTAGCGGATCAGACTTGCTTATACCGAGTTTCAACCAGTAGCCATCGTGCACATTATCTTCGTAAACAAACCTAGAAATATTTATTTATCAGTACAGGAATACATCCCAAATATATACTTCGATAGTAAATTTTATTGTAGAAATAAAAATCAGATGTTGCATACAGCGAACTGAGCCGAGGAGAAGTAAATTATTCTTGCATGGATGATATAGATAACAATAGAAAACGACTGTAAATATATTTCCTCACCCATTTACGAAAAAATCTGCGTTGGTTCTATCTCCATAATGTATAAAAAGTTGCTCTCCCGCTTTGAAGTCTTTCACAGCGAAGCATTCTATTCTCTGAGCTTCTGTGTTGTAATCTGTAGAGATCTGAAAAAATAGTAACTCATGAGCACCTTCTTTAAAGGGCCACGATTTGTGAGGTAGTTGTGTAGCACACGAATTATTTCGCATTTTTGCTTGCCAGTTCAGTCTGTGTGACGAATCCTTACTAGCAGTCTGTTAACTAGTAGATTTGTGCACGTCGTGTCATGCGTCAGTCGAATATGGGAGGTACTCCCTATACTAGAGCATAAAACAGTCCCAATTTCATGTTACCATAGTTAAAACAACAAGCATCTCAAATGTTAGGTTCAAATTTTAACTTGTGAAAGGTGAAACGTCAATAATTTTTCCGTGATTCTCACCGTTCCGTTAGCGTGATTGCAGATATCCCATAGAGGTATGAGAGCGGTCTCCAAGTGATCACCGTCTTCTGAAGGGATAGCATTTTGTCGTGTCATCATGGTTGATACTGCCCACCTAGATAGGACAATAAGAAATCTTATAACAAACACTAGATTACAAATTTTTGCTATCAAAAATGTACCTCGACAAAAAGATGTTTTTTAGACTAATATGAATTATGGAATGTCAGATATAGTTCTAAGGTTCTTTGAGTCATACTTGCTAAATCGTCAACAAACAGTGAAAACTGATCAGGGAATTTCCTCCTCTGAGCCAGTTCCTTCAGGAGTTCCTCAGGGCTCAGTATTAGGTCCCTTACTGTATCTGATTTGTACGATCGATCTGCAAGAGTGTTTAGTCCACTGTAGTATGCAAAGTTATGCAGATGATACTCAGTTAGTGTTTGGTTTCGATCCATCAAAGGTTGATGAAGTTATTTTAGATTTGGCTAGCATCGGTGATTACTGTAACAAACACTGCTTGAAGATCAATCCTGATAAAACTACTGCAATGTTGTACTGTTCGAAGAACTCCTACCGTGAAGTGAAGCAGAGGATTTGTGTTTTTTTGGATGAGACACTCATCCCTTTTGTGGATTACGCCAAGAATCTCGGTGTTACCCTTGACTTAAATATGAGATTCGATCGGCATGTCTCTTTCTTATCTAGAGTTACGTATTTGCGTTTGAAACTCTTCTATCCTAATCGATACATCTTGAATTTTACAACCCGAAAAAAGCTTGCTGAAAGTCTTGTGTTGTCTGTCATTTCTTACTCTCTTGTTCTGTATTACCCATGTTTAGACTACGTCCACAAAAGGAAACTCCAGAAAATTCAGAACAGCTGTTGTGGGTTTATTTTTGTATTGCGCGTCTCAGATAAAATCAAAGAACTCGACTGGTTGTGAATTGATAAGTTATTTTTATATCTTTTGACCGTCTTCACGCATAAAGTTCTATTATCTAACAGACCAGCTTACCTCGCTAGCAAATTAGTTCACCGAGGTAGTTTTGTTACCAGAGCTCTTAGATTTAATGCTAATTTTAACATGCCTCCTCACAATACCTCGGTCTTTGAAAGAAGTTACACCTATAATGCTGTCAAGCATTACAATGCAGTCAACAGTGGCTGTCGATCCAAACAGGTTGTTTCTTTTAAGAAATTAATGAAAAGTCAGCTGCTGGAGTCCATTTAGTTCAGTTTTTCTTGTGCTCATGTAATTTTTTTTTTGTTTGACTATTTTCTACTATTTTTGTTTCAAATTTAGAACTCTCGCAATGCTATCTGCATTTATCTCGTGCAATCATTGTTGTCATTCTTATGAATTGTATTTTTTTTTGTATGTTATTATTTTGTTTATGTGTGTAAGTATTCTTTTTTCCTGTTGTGGATTTGAGTGTAAGAGTAGCCATTATCATTATTATTATTATTATTATTATTATTATTATTAGATTACAAATTTTTGCTTTCAAAAATGTACCTCGACAAAAAGTTGTTTTTTAGACTAATATGAGGTCGCTGGAAACGAAAATGACTCTCGTTTATTTTCCAAAGAACCGTTCTTTTTGCTAAAAACCTGTAATTGTGCAGCTATAACCTGAAATCTCGGAAACGGTGTGTGATATTTTTGAAGTGTGTTACTTTCGAAAGGCAATACGGCAATATGCAATATATGATTTGTGAGAATCGAATTCGTATTAGTTGAAAGTTGGAAAAAGGCATTTTGGAAGCTTTTTTGTGTCAAATACTGTAAAATCGTAGGTGTTGACATCACGCGTCATATTTGCCACATTTTTTGTCCGGGTCAGACAATATTGGGCTTGTCAAGTAGGTGACAAAATTATCTTTAAGCTTACATAAGTTATGTTAGTATACAAAAAATGTTGCTTCGGGAAAAAGTCCATAAACCTCGATACTTTGCAAAAAAGCTTCAAAAATTCCTTTTTTCGATTTAATTGAGACAAATCATAATATATTGCCGTGAAAGGAATATGTGTGGCTTTTAAAAGCTTATTATAAGGGTATACGTTTACTGGAGGAGACATGGCGTACGTGCGTTGATGTAGAGGGGATTATATTGAAAAATAATGGTACCAGTAAAAAAGTACGTCTTTTGTTTAAGGTTTCGGAAGATTTCTTTTCGACTACCCCTCGTATATAATTAAAATCTGAACAAAATACGATGAGGTTTTTGAATCCCAATCATTTAAACATCCAAAACTGCACTTTTGCATATTTTTGATTACACGTGTATACAGGGTGTCCCAGAAGTCGACGTCAAGCCGAAACCGGGTGATAGGCAAAGTCATAACAGCTATCAGAAAAATATTTAAAAAATGTGTTTTGAAAATTATAGGTCTTTGAAAAAGATATAGAAATTTCACACCCTACGGCAGCCTGTCAAATCCTGTTACTACAAATATTAACTTTTTTTGGATTTTATTTTTACAATGTAATGATGAATAATGCATCTTCAAACTGGTGTCTCAACCTTACTGCCAACTTTTCTCGTTCAGGAAGAATTGCCACTTCTTTCCCAACCAAGTATTCCAAAGTAAAACTTTGCTGAAGTTTAACTGGCTGTACTGGAAAAAAATGTACTACGAGAGTTTGGCAAGTAACCTTAAAAGTTGGCGCATTTAATAACGATTCCAAAATGGTATAACACTTAGAAGATTACTCGTTAACTTATGCACAATTTTTATTTGAAAAAAAATGATGAAAATTTTTCAAAACTTCTTAATTAAACAGCGATTGTGAAAACGCACAAGGACCCACAACAGTGGGCGTCAAAATGCTGCTGATGATGATTTACCTTTACAGCAAATGCTCAAACTATTTTCCTTCAGCCGCAATACACGCTCGACATCTTAAACAAGATCGGGTTATTAAACGAGCGAATCCACGGTTATTAACAAACTCAGCTGCTTCCAATAGTCTTTGCCGTAGCTCAGCTACATTTTGAATCGGCTTGAAATACACTTTATCTTTTACAGTTCCCCAGTAAAAAAATCTATAGGATTCAAATCAGGTGATCGGGCTGGCCACGGTATTGTACCAGACCGCCTTGTCCATCGGCCTGGAAAGTTTTGATCGAGATACTCTCTCACTGAGAGTGCATAGTGCGCTGGGCAGCCATCATGCTGAAACCCTGTAAATACTCAGTGGCACGTCCACCAATAAATTTTGTACATGATTTTTCAAAAAATCCAAATAAACTTCAGCAGTCAAAGTCTCTGGGAACTCAAACGGACCGATTATTTTACCATTTAAAATCCCTGTCCAATGGTTTATCTTGAAGCGATATTGAGATTTATCTTCTCTCATCAAATGTGGGTTTGCTACGTGCCACTCGTGTAAGTTATGCAGGTTCATGTACCCATCTTTCTTAAATGTGGTCTCATCCGACCATAAAATTTTTTCAAGAACTGTGGATCTTTCCTGTGTCTTTCTAACATTGTGCGACAAAAAGCATCTCGGGGCTCATAATCCCGGGGCAGGAGAGGTTGAACACGCTGTATGTGGTATGGATGAAGCACATCACTTACTTGCTATTGCACACTTTGATACCGATCAGTACTCCTTCGTTTACTGCGCATCTTTACATGTTCGTGCTTGTTGATTTCGTACTGTTACTAATTTTGGATTCGTGAACTGGACTGTTGATCGCTTGTGATTTGGATTTGGACTGTTTAATTGCTCTTCAAAACAACATTTGCTTTCCTTAGACTATCTTTGATAGTGTGATTGTGCAGTGCCGCTATGTCCGTGTACACCGTACAAGAATATGCTAACATGCACCTCATTTATGGGGAATGCAGATGCAACGCTAGTGCTGCAGCGAGACTTTACTGTGAGAAGTACCCGAATGCAGCTCGTCATCCAGATCATCGAGTGTTCACAAATGTGCACCGCTTACTGTTCTCAGAGGGCCAACTACCAAACCAATCATACGGTGAGGGAAGATCTTTCCTTCCTTATGAAGACGTGGTGCTAGGAGCTGTCGAAGAAGACCCGATTACTTCAGTGTGTGCAATAGAACTAAAAACAGGTGTGCCCAAAAGTACAGCCCATAGAATCTTGCAAAAAAAACGTGCTCCATCCATACCACGTACAGCGGGTTCAAGCTCTTCTGCCCCGGGATTATGAGCCCCGAGTTGCTTTTTGTCGCACAATGTTAGAAAGACACAGGGAAGATCCACGGTTCTTTGAAAAAATTTTATGGTCGGATGAGACCACATTTAAGAAAGATGGGTACATGAACCTGCATAACTTACACGAGTGGCACGTAGCAAACCCACATTTGATGAGAGAAGATAACTCTCAATATCGCTTCAAGATAAACCATTGGACAGGAATTTTAAATGGTAGAATAATCGGTCCGTTTGAGTTCCCAGAGGCTTTGACTGCTGAGGTTTATTTAGGTTTTTTGCAAAATCATTTAGAAAATTTATTGGAGGACGTGCCACCGAGTATTTACAGGGACATGTGGTTTCAGCATGATGGCTGCCCAGCGCACTATGCACTCTCAGTGAGAGAGTATCTCGATCAAAACTTTCCAGGCAGATGGATAGGGCGGTCTGGTACAATACCGTGGCCAGTCCCGTCACCAGATTTGAATCCGTTAGATTTTTTTTACTGGGGAACTGTAAAAGAAAAAGCGTATTTCAAGCCGATTCAAAATGTAGCTGAGCTACGGCAAAGACTATTGGAAGCAGCTGAGTTTGTTAATAACCGTGGATTCGCTCTTTTTTAAGAAGATGTCAAGCGTGTATTGCGGCTGAAGGAAAACAGTTTGAGCATTTGCTGTAAAGGTAAATCATCATCAGCAGCATTTTGACGCCCACTGTTGTGCAAACAGTTATCCTTAAGGGTCCTTGTGCGTTTTCATAATCGCTGTTTAATTAGGAAATTTTGAAAAATTTTCATCAGTTTTTCTTCAAATAAAAATTGTGCATAAGTTAACGAGTAATCTTCTAAGTGTTATACCATTTTGGAATCCTTATTAAATGTGCCAACTTTTAAGGTTACTTGCCAAACTCTCGTAGTACATTTTTTCCAGTACAGCCAGTTAAA